GTTGAGTTTGTTGTATCTCAGGATATTTATCGAGTAGTGGTTGTTAGAGTGGGTCTATCATATGCTTAACTGTGACTGGGGATAATCTGCAACCAGTAAAATAAGTTACACAAACGGATAAATTAGTGTTTCCGTCTACTAGCCTCCGTTTGCGCGTATCGATGATTAGATTATGGTGTTGTAGAAGGTCCATACCAATGATTGGCATAGAAACATCTGCAACAACGAAGATCCAGAGAATGGGTTTGCGCTAACCCACGTCCAGGTAAACGTACCTTTTGACATACGTAGCGGTAGGTTTTCAGTTTGCCACCTGTAAGTTTAGAGCCGATTCGTGAAGCTGGTCGTTAGGGTTTGCTTGGAGGACGCTAACTTCTGCGCCAGTGTCGACGAGGTAGAGAACTCTCTTTGTCACATCTGTGACGTACAACAGACGGCTATGTTCGCCGGCTACGGTTGCCGTTAACGCGTGCCGGCTTGGAAGTTTCCCGAGTTGTTTTTCGAGTCAGTCGTTTTCGTGTTGGGAAAATTGCAGGGTTTTCTGCAATTTCTGGAAGACTTTCCATATTGGTTATGATACCAGAACCAGTCGGGGTTATCCGTCTCTCGTGGTCTAGAGACAGATCGTTTACGTGAAATGCTTCTACGTGGGCTGTGTGAGCGATTACGGTCGTTACGAAGATTAAGATAGTGTATGACATAACTCGGTTATGTCATTCTGAGTCGTGTGAGGCTTTTCTTTGACTGAAAATACCTCTGTAGTATACGATTACGTTGTTTCTAAAATACGATCGGCAGATGCAGCCAGCTCGTCTAAGGCGTTGTTTTGAAACAGACAAGCACAGTCTTCACCTGTCGAGGAAGTTTAGACAAGAAAAGTTGTTTGAATGGGCCTTCGTCGAAAGTCCTTAGGTCTATCACTTCTCTCATTCGTTGCAACATGTCAGTCGCAGAACAGTGTTGCAGATCGATGCTATTGAAGAGTTGATCTAACCTTTGTCGATCGGTTAGGTCTCCTTGTTTAAGAATCGAACGTTTTAGGATTTCGTAAGGTTCAGAAACATCACCAGTAAACATACTAGGTGTTAAGTACCTGTTGAATTCGCGCGGTAGTGCCTTGACTACTGCGAGGAATTGTGCACGTGTGTCGATCACGCCGCGCTCGTGGAAGTCGGCTTCTGCGTAGCAGAACCAGGCTTCGATACTGTCGGACCAGAAAGGCATCAGTTGAAACGAAGGCGGGGACAAAGTCTTAAGCTTGAGTACTTTGGGTGTCTGTTCAGTCATGACGAAATATGAAAAAAATATATATATATATCCAAGAAAAAACACGAAAAAAATAATTTTTTTAAAAATTAAGGCAATGATATACAAAAATCCCAAAAAGGAACAGACTCACAGTTGAAATTAGGTGTACCAGATCACGTCGGTCTCACCAATGAGGATGATACAGGTATTCAGTGTTTGACAACGCTTCTACCAGTAACACCTTCTAATATAATTTGTACCCACTGAGATAAATCAAAAGACAGAGTTGAGGAGATCGGAAGAGTGTATTTGGCGGTTACCAATATATCGGAATCTCTGATCTAATCTGGCTAGCGATAGCGGTAGATGTTGAGTACAGCGTTACCACACGTGATCTGGCGTGGATGCATGACCGAGCGCCTTCAGCTAGATGAGTTCACAAAAACATATGGCCAGCATCCAATGTCGAAAACCTACAGAGCTATTTAGTTTGGGGATTTATTTACCGCTACACTACGCTTCAGCAGCATTCAGGTTTTCACACTAATTCAGGGAGAGCAATGTAAGAGACTACGTGTTTAAACCCAACGAGTTTGTCGTTGTTAAACACTTATCTGATAGCTTACTAAATTTAGCAGCGTCTGGTCGTCTTTCCTTACCATATGGGACCTGTATGGCATTACGTATCTTCATTTACGATTTGGCTGTTAATATGTCTTATCTTTTTGTTCCGTCCAGCATTAGTATTATCTTAGGTCATAACAGGAAGACTCACAAAGCGCGATCTAATAAGCTTAAAATGTGGTTCTCTTTCTCTCATCGAGTGGTCAGTGACTGGAATCCCTTATCCGAACAAGTAGTATCAGCCCCATAAAAAATATTTTCAAGGTGAAGCTGGAATTTCACTAGGGGGCGAATTGTCAGGATTAGCATAGGTCCACTAACCTTCTATCCCTATTACTGAAGACTGAAATATGGATGACTAATGGCAACGCTACAGTGACCTTGAGGAAACATTGAGGTTAAGTAAGGGGTGCGACTATAATTTATGGACGAACCAATCACGTATACGACAACAGATTTCAGATTTTGGCGCGTAGTTTTACTCATTTGGCTAAATAGTCTTGGCATTATAACAGATGTCCGTTCGTGATGAAAACCCTAAATCTAATTCCTAATCCTAACCATCAGCTTTATATCATAATCCTTATTCTTCAAACTGCTTTATAACCATCATTTAACCATAGTAAGTAGGTGAATTAAACCCTCTTTTAGTTTACAAAATTTGAAGTCCATCTTCATCATCACAACGTTTGCTTCCAGGCTTCAGAACAGTATTTTCTACCGGGAATGTTTACCAACGAAAGTATCAGTAGAGCTATAGCTCCGACCCAATCTCCAAAGTTTGGGGAATTTCTGGTAAATGTATGGAAATTTTGGGGAAATCCACAAAGTCAAATGACCTTCACCAAGGTTAAAGGAGGATTTTGGGGAAATATTTGGGAATTTCCACAGATCTGGGGAACTTTTAGGGTTTCGTTTCCATTTCCTCAAAATTTCCCCAAAGTTTACTGTCGTGGCTTCCCCAAACTTGGGATCTCGGGGATATATCGAACCTTCTAGACAATATCCTCTTATCGGAAGCTTATAAAAAATTAAAGCAAGCGACTATTTAGACCACCTTGATTTCCGATGAGAAAGTGCTACAACAACTACCGAACGAGTGCAAGCTAGAATATAGACTGTTGAGCCAAATATTGCGAGAGACGGAACAGTTAATTCGATCTTACAAAGCTGACGATGCTGTCCTAAAATCAATTTGAATGCAGCTCTCACCATTGTCAGTAAGACAAGTCCTTTGCGTTTGGAGTCAGCCTTTAGACTTAGAAAATCTGACTGAAATGACATAAAATCTAGGAGATAACTCCCAGTAATACTCCATTCATACGACGTCACTAATGTACAAAATGCTCCTACAAGTTGTAGTATTGTGTTGCCGGTGATAGAGCTAGCAGATCTTTGGAGCCAATATACAACAAATTATCTGACCTAACACCTAAGGTTGCTTCATTACAACTTTCTATATCTGCCTTATCTGAAGAAGGGCGCGGTGGCCCTCGGAACCGAAGCGACAGGTGACCTCATTAAGGAACACCAGTAGTCAATGTGCATTTCTGTCTGTATCACAGAAAATATGGTAAGTAGGCTACGAAATGTGTTACCATCTGTAAATCCACTTTCTGCATGCGAAAACATGACACCAGATAGTAATGACGACGGCCGTTGCCGATCAAAAGTTTAGTCCTATGTGCTGGATGGAATTTCAGACTAACTTTCTAGTTGACACCGGAGCTATAGTCGGTGTAATCCCAGACACGCTAGCCAGACTACATATACATAGTAATAAATAGCCATTAAGTGCAGCAAGCAGAACGGAGGTTGAACATTCGGGGAGCAAGCACTCATTTTGGACCTCGGAGTTAGACATCAATTAAGTTGGGATATAAAATTCAAAACATTTCTTTTTCAAGGTGTTGCTTTCAAGTCATGGCTTACAATTGCACTCCTATCTTTCTGTTATGGAACCTTCGGAAGTATTTTTCCCTCCGTACTACGAAGATTGTTGTGTCTGGTCTAAGTTCATACTCCTTTTTCAAAGTTTATTCCTATGGATGAACGTTCAAACCACCTTACCAATTCGTCCAAATCAGTTTAAAGCTCTAACCTTTCGGAATCACTACATATTACTCTTTAAATGTTTATATCATTAGCAAGTAAAAGTGATGATTTAAAGTTTTTGAAATTCGTTGACATAAAGTAGCCATACCAGAGGAGCAAAAATAATACTTCGGGGCACTACATTGTGCAGGCCTCCATCTGGAAATCACCCATTCAGTCACTTTGCTTTCTCACATATAAGGAGCTTCTCATGCAGTCCTGCGTTTTACTCCTTTTTGTTAAGTTGGAAAGCCTCTACATAAGTCCTAAGCTAGGCACCTGATCAAATTCCTTGCTGTGGTTCTTGAGTACTACATCGTCAGACAAACTGAAGAATTCTTACTAAATGTAAATCTATTTTTATTTATAACAATCAACCCAATGCTCAATTTATTCGAAATTATCAAATCAAACCTTGGTAATGACACCTATTTTTATTATTCGTATTATGTAATCTAGTATTATAATCTTTCTATTACATCATCTTAGTTATTTGTTCTCATTTCCTCACGGAATTAGTATTTTAACAAAAAAATTCTCATATATATACGATTGTACAGTTTGATAATAAATTCGTCGAAAAGAGATCCTTTCGCTGAACTTCATGTTTCTAATTTTTAATGTTTAAATGGGAATTATCTGTCAATTTTGAATTCTATCTGTTCACCGGCAGTAGCCATCCAAATATCACTATATCTGACACTATTCCCGTCGATGTTTCCGGACCATTTTAACGATGCAATGACTCACTTGCTGCACTGCTTTTCACTGAATATTTATATGTATCATTATTAACATCACTACATTAAGTGTAAAGTAGGCAGCCTTCCATGGTTATTATTTATTTATTTGAGCACATAAATATTGGTACAATAGGGTACCAAATATATTTGCGTCACACAAAACCTTCCATGGTTGCTTCTGCTCGTACCTAACAGTATTGTTTTTTCTCTTTAGTGCTCTGTTACTGTGCTACGGCGAACGACTGGATATCTAACTACATAGCAGCTGTGTAAAAATCCAAAACAGTTTGGATGTCGTTTGATTCGAAGACCTTTATCAATATATCTCCAGTTTTTATTCTTAATAAACAAGCTCATCTGCTTAAAACAGATTTATCCTGGACTTGTGAAGAAAGTGGCCCATTCCATAACAAAGTGTTTCGCGTTAGTGTCATTGTAAATCACCATAATCTAAAAAGTTCTGAGATATATTATGGTGTTGGAAGCAGTGTCAAGGAAGCTAGACGGATGGCTGCTGAAAGTGCTTTACAAACTTGTATCTTATTTAGGTACAATGTTGGTTCAAGTAATGGGGCTATACGCACTGGAGGACCGTTTACAACACCGCGAAATGTAAGTCTTGCAAGGATTACATTTTCTAATTACTTCCTTAAGTCTGGTGTTTAGCAATCGCTTAGTAATTAAAGTTCTGCACTTTTAACTATTATTTCATATGCTTGAACTTGACTACTCTTTCTGGTCTGGCCAGAAGCTCAGTGTTACTGACTCATAAGTAATAATGGTCCGTAAAATCGAGTACGTGAACCCATATCAGATGAATTAAGTGACTTTAATCTTAAATCAATGACATTAGAATTCATGTATTCGAAATTTGAATGAATTATTAATAATTTGTTTGTTATAAATTTCTCACAAGAATGTCTTCATGCTTTCTCCATACTTCATATGTAGGCCGATCCTTTCATTATTTTGATTAATTCTGATCCAACATCTTTAGCTCCAAAAGTACAGCTCAGGCAACTGCTTAATTTACTTGGATCAAGAGTGAGATTTGTTCATTCAATGGGTGATGCCAATAATAGTTTGGTAAGAAATATTTATATTTTGTGTCATTGTTTATATCTGTCAAATTATCGCAGTATATTTACCACTTTACTTGTTAATTTGTCTTAGAAAGTAACCATCTTGACGGACACAGTTCTGTCTAATGAAAATTTTCGTCAATACTGCTGTGACGTCTTCCTTTTCTGAGGTCCACAATATATTCTGTTCATTCTGAGATTTCCAAAAAACCTATTCTCAATATTCATATGTATGGAGTATCCCCTATCTCAGAAAACTAATTTAATGGTTCATCCTCCTGCTTATAAAATGTGTTAGTTTTGGGAGATTTGTGACATTAACTCCATCAAATTTAAAATTTTAGAATATTACCTCGAAAAAGCACTAGTTGAGTATGCTTTACAGAAGATCAAAGTTTTGTTCACTTCTGCTTACTTGATTCATGAGCCTGTGCTACATAATTATTTACTAGGTTTTAAATTGTCAGCGTCGTTTTTTGGTTGTCATCAAAATATACAACTCACTTTGGTTAAATTAACTTTGATATTCATATTTGTGTAAAATGATACAATTTGTCATCATCATATTTTATTTAGTATCTACAAGTCACAGAGATTATGAATCAATGTAATTGGTTGGATGTGCTTGTGGTGGGACGAGTTTTTGTTTTACAGTAAGTTCGGTGTCCTCAACTAATTTCAAGAATGTAGTAAGTTTGACTGAATTTGACAGAATGCTTCATTCAGTTGGTTTTAATTCTTTAATAATTAGTCTCCTGTCATTATGTCCTGAAAATTTCAAATGTAGTTTGATGATTTTAAATTCTTAATGATTTTGTTGCATTATCGGGATATTTCAGTGTCATTTTAAAAGGTATGTTATGCCAAAAGTAATCAGACTCGTCTAGCTATACAACAAACTTATAAGTGAATAAGTTGTCACACGGATTTTGACTTAATTATCATGATCGAATACAAATTTTGTGTTGATATTTAACCTTATTCATACTGCATAATTTCTAATGGATATAATTTAAAAGTAGAAATCAACCACAGACTTTCTAAGAATTTCTTTACTTCGATGTAAGTCCTCGATTTTTCCAAAATTTTATTATGGTTTACACTTGTTAAATGAAATTGTTTACACAAAATACTTATGATTACTTAAGAAAAGTATAGTGTTTTATTTCTGGTTTGTAAATAAGTGAATTTTGTTTTTTTGTGTTTCTGTTTATCTGATAGCGTCCTATCATGTATAGAGCGACAGCGGAGATCGTTGGTCGACAATATGTTGGAAATTCAACCACCAAATCAGGTGCTGAACAAGAATCATGTTTATCAGCTTTAATGGTACGTATATATATGGTTTGATCAATGCGAGGATAATTACCTTTGGATGTTTTGACGCTGCTACGTTGATTAAAGGTTTTTATCACTTTATATTTATTGGTTTCATTGTACCTGATGTGTATTTATATAACCATGCTGGTATACTAATATCTTTAGTCACATTTTATCTAGCATTATTGTTAGTGCCTGACTGTTTGTCTTGTATGAAGTGAGCAGTGTTAAAAATAGAGATGACAAAGAATAGGGAAGTTTAAGATCATCATTATCGTCTCTAAATTGTTCTTACCACTCCAACTTTATCCTTTCTTTATAAAAATTCCATCAATTCCCATAAACTACTTAATAAGAGGATGAGTTAAATTACCCTATTTGTTTGTTGCTGAGTTATTTAGTGAAGTTAACGAGGGATTTTCATATCAGGATTTAATAATCTGTTGCGTTTTAACAGTAATTTGGTCGGGTGGGGCATTTAAAATAGAAACCGAATGTATTTCTTGTAATTGACTGAGAAGCTTAGTTTGTAAGGTAGGATAAAAAAATTGGGACCAAATAACGTTTCCTATTTTCAGTTTATTGCACCAACGTCGTTAATCATCACTAATTGATGTTTTAAGTTCAATCTGAACCTTCCGTTTGGACTTCTAGTCACTTAGCATGTGATACACGGCTTTGAGCTACACTGCTGTTCTGGGAGTTAGGGATACTTTCTGACCTCGTAAACTGCAGTAGAATGGAGTAGTAGGGTTTGAACATAGGTCCTGTTGGTTGAAATCCGAAATTCTTAACTACCAATCTGTCATGTACGCCCCCTTGGTCTATTTATAGACTAATTAAATTAATGTTACATCATGTAAACATAATTAATGGGGTTACCGGCTGTGGGTAAATATGTATCATAAATATCTGAGGTGATATAGCTTTTGAATATTGTCGGATAAGTAGTCCCTGAATGTTTATGTGTTGTGTTGTGATTGTTGCGTAGGTACTATTAGAAATGACCGTCCAGTATAGCATTATTTCGTCTTGACAATCCTGAATAGGACGAGATGTTATACTGTACGTCGTCATAGAAGTTGCAAGTGATTTAATTTTTAGAACACCCCTATCTTTTGTCGCCTACGCCATGTTTACCTTTATATAGCTGATCATGTCTTGTTCGTCCAGTTGGAGGAAATCGTCCAAACTATTTAGGAAGTCCACTCTGAACAATCAATCAAATTTGGATCAATAATTTCAGTGAATTGTTTTCATCGCTTATAGTTAAGAATCCATACTGACCGGTCAAAATTGTCGTTAGCAATATCTTCATGAATACTTTGTCTTAAATAAGAGTACGAATAGTAGGAATCAGTGATTATTACCTTCTTGTGATCAGTTTAAGATACCACTTCGCCTATTTCGATTCATTACGTCAATCCTATTAATCGACTCAACCGTACTAACATTTTGAATACCTCAGACTCGAGAAAGTAGATTGTTTCTGAGAACAGTTCTAACGAAGTATCTATTTGAAGTAAAACTATGACAAAGTAAAGAATGGAAGCTAAACTTATTTCTTCCTGTTTAAGAACCTACATTTTGAATGACTTGTATGAAATTCCTCATCCTTATTGTTGCATAGTGTAAAAAATCAATTACATAAAACTATACTATGGATTGCTTTACAATTGACTCTAGAGGTAGATAACATCCTCAAATAGATGATTTTTCTTAGTTTTAGTTATGTAATTGCATTTATCCTTTAGGAATGAGGTTAATGCTAGAATAAAATGAGAAGTTTTGAACCGCTTTCATGTTCCATGCTAATAATTTGTTGATCTGTCGGATCTTTGTCTCTTTCTATACATTAGTAAAACTTTTCATCTATATGATTTATTTTGTAATAATTGTTGCAGTTAATAAAACTCGTTTTTATGATCATTAATGTAGGCACTTCGTCGGTCATTGTTGTCTTACATCAAGACTCAGAAACTAAGGAAAAAAGAACAACACGATCACGACAATATGTACATTAATCAGTGTATTCATCCAAAATCATCAGTTTGGAGATTGCGCATTCTCGCTGGTCTACATTTCATTCAGCCACTTTTTAAGGTGAAAAAAACACTTAATGCTTATTTCTTTTTAAATAAGTGTCCAATTTTCTTACATTTTGGTTTGTTTTGTCAATCAGTTTCATTTTTTCCCAAAAATTATGCATAGGCTTTATTCATTCTGCGAAATTAACACAGGTTTACATACGGGAGGCATGAGAAGCAGCTGTATTCACAATTCATGTATAAGAGGATCATTTGAAGTATGACCACACTACATGACAAACGTTCATCACACCACATGTTCAGAAATTATTAGAAATGGTACTGGTTACTGAACATTAATAAGTAGTATAAGGCAATATACGAATGAGTCGGATGAGAAATGAACCAAGAGAATGTAAATGAAATTAACAAATATAACATGCTTAACTTTTATCTTTGTAGACTTGCAACTATTAAGAGACAAATACCTACTGCTCCCTATTTTCAAATTCTTCTTTACTCGATATGAATCTGCAGTTATAAAAACCGTCTTCAAATTGAACAAACATCCTACAAAACTGGCTAACCTGTGCTGTTTTATTTTAAAGGAACGAGGTTTAAAGCTTGAGATATTTCGACAAACTTTATTAGAATGTTTTATTACTGTTTTAGTGCTAACAGTCATACTGGCAAACACTACCACTGATACTTGGTTTTTCAGATTCTTCCGAGTCTCAATCCTTGGTTTAATACGGTTACCTTGGAATAGGTGCTTTATTTGTCTCAATTTATCTAAATATTTATGTTATAACATTAGGGTTGAATTATTTACTTGTTATTCTCAGATCCAATAATTCTACTGTTCTTTAAAGAACTAGGTTTAGATCAAATCAAGAGTTTATTATTGCAAAGCATACAAAACCAGAGGTGCATATATTACGATATAATTAGTTATTGATATAATTTATCATACATATATTTATCTCCACTCCTTAATCAATCACAGGTTACTTTGGTTAAATATATCAGGTTGAAAACTAATTAAGTCGATCCTCATGATAAATATATTAACTTACAAAGATTCATATGAAACTGACAAAAAGTATAACAACTCACTAATGAGCAGCAATTTCTAAACAAATATCAAGTTATTTTAGATTCCAATTTTTTCATGTCAAATACGACGTTAAAAATTCATTGAATCCTTCCTATATATCAGTGGTAAGTTTAGTTCTGAATGTGTTCTAACATATTTATAATTCGTAATGGATATCACGTCATGAACTTCGATTACCTAATTCTTAAGAATTTTGACTCTGGAATACTTATTATTATTATGTTATCTTGTAATATTAGAGTTTACAGAATTCATTAGAGTGAAATATGTTATTTAGGAACCATAATAATACTTACATTCTCTCAAGTAAATCTGTTGGATCTCAACGTTAGATATCTTATCAGACGGTCGTTTATCGGCTAAGGTACTTGATTTAGAGCTATTGGGTTTCAGCTTGAACCTTGTAAGATTTAATTTGCCTACAAATAAATAGTCCAAACAAGTCTTAATACTGTTACATACAGAGTCTTAACAGGCTTATATTCAAACCAAGTAAATATGTATATTTGTCAACAGTGGTGATCTATTTCTAAAACATAGATCAAAACACTCAGTACAAAAATGTAGAATAGTATGTTCAGTTAAAGACAAATTAATAAACACACTCCTACTTAACGGTAGGCAGGATAGGGTAAAAATAAATCAATAAAGGGATTAGTCATGTTCATAAAAAAGAAATAATTTCACGGTTGGTAGTTAAATAAAAAAAAGATAATAATATTAGTAACCAGTTTGAGATTAAATGAGTCTTACGTGATGGGCATTTAACCTAAATATTATTGGATGATCTAGTTTAATCGATGGGAATCAGTAAACTCCATTCCGCATATTTCAATTTATATCACGAGATAGCTTCACTAATCGTTGCACACGGAAGTATTGATCGATTCCTAACACATCAATCTTTGTTTAATGACCAAGTTAGTTGCATCAGATATGTGATTTGTTTTTTCTGGGTTCAACTTTACCGTTGACATTTCAAGAGAGCACCAAATCAGATTACTCAATCGTTCTAAACTGCAGCAGACTACATCTGAAACTACAAGGCTACTGATCCTTTCGTTCAATACAAAAGGCTTTTCTACTATGATCTACTCTACAAGCTAGAATTTGATCCAAACCATATATCAGTCAATGTAATACTTTATTGTTCAGTGAAGTTATGTAATATTATTTAATATCGTGATACTTTATAAAATCTTTTAATATTGATTGTCTCATTCGTGTTCGTTAATGCTGTTTGCAATCATTTTTATCACTAATTAATTTTTAATATTATTTGTACTTCTGCATATGTTGATTAGATCCAAAAGTTAACCAATTGTGAACCAAATAAATTTACGTGTATATGTTTATTAGATGGTTGGAAGTATACTGAAAATCGATCTATCTCAGCTAAGAAAGCACAAAATAATGCTGCTCAATCAATGCTGAATAATATGAATAAAATTGAGAACAAATGCTCAACAGTTCCATTTTATGATAAACAATATGATGTTACATCAAAATATGTTCATAAACAAAATCATAAACCATGTAAAGTATGTTTGATTTTGTTAAAATAAATAATCGGCTATTCTCTTTTAAATAGATTGTGTTCCAGTTTTAAGTATTAGTACAGTTATATTTGTTTTACTAGATGCTTTGAGGTTTTCAATCCAACTTCCACAATGCAACAACAGTTTTCTCAACAATAAAAAAATAATGCAGAGTTTTCTATCGACTATTTTTAAATTTAAGTACTAATGTTGAGAAACTTTTAGTACTTCAGTTAGTGAGAGAGGTTTATAGTTTCAGAGTATTTAGACCTAAACATTTCAATGTATTTGTAACGATCCTTATTACATTATGGATTTCCGTATTTAATTTTCAATAGTTGATGTTAGTTCCACATTTGAAATTATTCACTTCACCATATATGATTATTTTCAGTCTTAACTAATGCTTAATGGAGTAGCTTTAATTAGTTCGAATAAAATAAAATAATACTCACATAGATCCTGATATTCCTCAACTAAAGAGATTTCTACATTTTGGATTAGAATCTGAAGTGAAATGTTGTAAGTTATTAGTAAAATTATGAACAAGTTTCGATAGAACAATGAAAAGACGAAGATGATCTGAAAATTGTGATGTATTTGCACCTTACATTTCAAACAATTTGGCCACACATATACTTATCAAGTCATTTTATTTAAAAATTAATAAAGGTCATTTAAATAAAGGTACAAGTAAGCAGAGTAATAATTGTAAATAAAGGAGGGAGATAAAACTAAAATAGTATAAAATAAATAGGAAATTTTCGCATTACCCTAGGCCATAAAATGACAAGGGCTACTAGGACAGATTCAAGGTTACGACAAATTGTTTTTGTACACATGAAGGGACTTTTCATTTACGAATAGCCAAGGCTTCTATAACCCTGAGAATTCGTCCTTGACAATTTCTATACAACATTTTAAAAGTTGTATTGATGTCAATTCTGTGCTCCGTTTCAATATTGTGCTTCGCGATTGATGAAAATGGTTTTCTACTTCCCACGTTTATCGGAACAGTTGACATTAACTGATTTTGAAGCTCCGTGACAAACATTCGATGTCTAAGTCAAAACATTACTAATATGAATCAGAATGCAATATAATCTGGATTATTATTTCTTACAATTTAATCATTTGTGTTCTTTGGTGGATCATTATATTTTCAATAAAGGATTTTTTGTAAACAAAGAAAATGTAAAATCATTGATAATTAGAGGCATTTAGTTATACAAAAAAAAAGAATGGTTTCTATCTTACACCAGTTTTACTCGTTCAAATTATTTAATTTTGAATATATACATTATTACTTTCAGATCAAACTACAATTTAATCAGCATCGTGCTTTTGATGAATCAGTACATCCTGTTTGTAGATTGGAATGTTACAGCATTGTTAATAACTTGGATAAAGTAAAATATACATTATTAAATGATCAATTACCAAGTGGAGAACATGCATCTTTAGCACCCGGTCGTCCTCCATTTATCTATCAGGTTAGTAGATAGTCGGAAAGTTCCCCAATATACAAGGCACCTATGATTACAGAAGCTGTAAAGTTAGCAATGTCGTTTAATTTCATGTTTTCTGTTTGTTGATTGGTGAATACCAATTTCGATGATAAATAGATGTTACGGTGAGATTATAATCTATGGACGACCTTTGAGCAACATTAAAATGACCTTGAAAATGCCCATCTACTTTCTTGTGTTAAATGAGGGTTATAAATTAGTGCGAGGAACTAGGATTGGATTTACAGTTGAACGTTAGGGTTAGAAACTATATTCAATGTTTTCATCACGAACTGACATCAAATATAAGGCCGAAATGATACTTAGCCAAATGAGTGGGTAAATCTCGCGCCAAAATCTAAGACCTGCTGTCTTATGTCTGATTGGCTCGTCCATATATTATAGTTTCGCCGATATTACCTATTTTTCATCACATAGCAGTTACATAATTATTTTTCCATGCTAATACATCTCGCTATATATTTTTCTGGCGTTTTTTAATGACTTGTTAAATCGAATTGTGACAAGTTTTATCTTCATAGAACATGCTTGATGTTTATTAAAATCACTCGATTTCAAATAGAACAATAATTTCATTCAACATTAACTAGCATTCATGCCTACATGTTTACATTGTTCAAATTCTGCTTGTTTTTAAAAAATTCTTTACATTCCATTGGACTACTAGTGTAATTCTTACCATAAGATTACTGAAGATAGAAAATATCTTGTGAACTATTCCGGTACCTAAAGAACACTATTCAACAATCATAAGTACATTTATTCACTAGGTTGTGAGCAAGATAGAATAATTTTAGCTTATTTTTTTAACTGAATGACAAATGACCCGTGTCTAGTCTGGTATATAAACCATAAGTATGCTTAGTGAATTTCAAAAATATGTTATTTCAGTATCATCTTATCATATTTTAATTAGAAAAACATCTTGGATTTCAGTAATATCAAAATAATTGTTGAAACTTTTCTAATCACAAAAGAATCAGCTACTTTTCTGCGTTTAAGTTGATCATACATCGGTAACTTTGTGATCAGCTGTTATAATCTAATATTTCAAGTGTTCTGGCATATTTTCTAAATATACAATGCGTTTTAATCGTGAGCTGTTTTTCGTACACGAGTCTTTACGTGTGCACTTGAGGTTTTTAAAATGATTATAAAAGTTTAGTTTTCCCAACAATGTTTACACTAGTTTGATGTATTCTTATGTTAAGTGTTTTTAGTTGATTCATCACGAGTATAGTCAATATAAGAATCAATCATTCTGCGAATATCACTAGTATAACTTCCACTGTTATTTTAATTTAACCTTTTATTTGACGATAATATAATAAGACCAATTTCATTCCAATAATCCTTGTCATATTTTACATGATTAGATGCACACGTATGCTAGTTATAAGTGTTTGAATTTCAATGCATATTTATTTATTATTATTTATTTAAACACATAAACATTGGTACAAGAAGGCATCAAATATATATGCGCCACATAAATCATTCGATTTGTGTGAGGGCCGTAATACTGGCTGGGTGTCCAAACCAAAGCAGGCTGTTTTCTTAGGAGGGCACACCCAAAGCCTTCGACCTAAAACTCTAATTCACAAAGCAGTGGAGCAAAGTAAGGAGATGCATTCCTATGGTAGACGGTGACCAACAATAGGTTCATACGCCATTTGTTTTCTCAGGATCCTGGAGCCTATGTGCAGCATTAGTTTGGAATCAAGGTTTTCCAACTCCTCTAGGTGGATCCTCCGTACCCACCACCAACCCGGTTAGAGCTCCAGCCATTCGCTCTTTGTCCTTTCAATTTTCTAAACAACACTCCCGACCGAAGCTGCTACCTTGATGCGGTGGTCGGGCTTGCCTATCGTAATGAAGCAACCAAGCTATATTGGCTGGAACATATGTTCCTGTACGTTCTACCATGCTAGGCAGGTCGATTGGAGAACGGTAAGCCTAAAAGCAGCAACTCAAGGTCTGAGGGCGATGTCGTACTGCTGACTGTAGAGGGGTGTGACAGCAGTAAGGTGTTTCCCTCGGACAACCAGCATCTGCAGCGATGCTGCCTTCCCACAAGGAGGGGTGGGGTTAGAAAAGGTCGACCCTAAAAATGTCACACCCCACCTTACCTCACGGATTTCCGTCTCCGGCGGTAAGGCCCTTTGAAGAAGTGAGCTAACTCATTAAAAACCTTCCACAAAAGGGCCGTGCGCGACCGGCCTCAAGCAGTTGTCTTTTGGACTCTGCGGTCAAGCTCCCAGGTCGTTAAGACCAACACTAATCCAATTTCCTTTTCAGGTTCCTCAAGAAATACCCTTCCACGGTGTGGGCAGCCGGGAAGTGATATCAGACCTCATACCCGTAACAGCACACGAGACCAAGTTGGTCACATTCAAATTCTTCCTACACCTCCTAATACCTCTCCTCTTATCTCCATAACTAACCCTCCTCACGTCTCTTTATCATCTCGCACCGCTAGGGCAAACGATTCAAGTACGCGGAACGTTATTCCTGGTCTCCTGAAACCACGCTCTAAACTACACGTAGGAGCTTTTAACGTTCGAACACTGTGCCAAATAGGACAACAGGCTTCCCTAGCTAGGACTTTAGATTCCCGCGCCATCGATGTGTGCTGCGTCTCCGAAACGCGCATACAGGATCTGAGTAGCGTCATTCATCTGACCTCACCATGCCAAAATAAAGAACCGACTCGATTCACACTTCGTGTATCTGGAAGCCCTGATTCTGCTTCCCGTGGCCTCGCCGGCGTAGGCATAGCATTGAGTCCTACGGCAGAACTAGCTCTCTTAGAGTGGATCCCATTAGACAGTCGTTTGCGCGCTGTCTGACTGAACGGAACAGTAAGGATCCGAAAAGATAAGGACACTCGTCGTTGCCTCTTCGTCGTCTCTGCCTATTTTCCCACTGACTGCAGCTCAGATGATGTAAAAGATGAGTTTTACAGAAAGCTCTCCGACCTTCTCCGAAAAGCTAGGCGCTCAGATGTAGTAATAGTGGCCGGTGACTTTAATGCTCAAGTAGGTAAACTAAGCGATAGGGAAAGACACCTGGGTGGATCTTATAGTGTCATGGCTCAAAGAACAGATAATGGCGACCGTCTGTTGCAGCTTTGCTCAGATAACCGCCTGTTCCTTGCAAATACTAACTTTAAGCATAAGGAAAAACATCTTTTAACATGGAGACCCCGTAATTCGTCCCAACGCTGGACCCAAATAGATCACATCGCTATCAGCCACCGATGGAGGGGCTCGATAGAAGACAGTCGCTCATTCTGGAGCACATGCTTAGATTCAGATCATGCTCTAGTATGAGCGCGTATCTGCCTGCGTCTTACTGGACGTAGGAAAGACACTGCAAGTAAACCTTTTAGGGCCCTACTTAATGATGGTCAAGCTAAGAGTATATTTCAGAAACAACTAGAAAAACATTTAGGCAGCCATGTATGTGATGCCCACCCCGAGGCAGCATGGAATGATATCCGAAAAGCTGTGGAAACAGCAGTGATACCTGCTAGTAAGGTAAACCACAAGGTTAGGGAACGACACTGGATCTCAGCAGCATCTATCGCACTGATAGATGCTCGGAAACTCATTCCACCTGGCTCTGAACATAATGAAGAGCGGAGTCAGCCTAAGTGCAAGCTGACAAGAAGCCTACACAATGATCGTGAACAGTGGTGGGTAGCGAAAGCAAGAGAGATGGAAAAGGCAGAGGTAATAGGTAATAGCAGACAATTGTTCAGACTTGTTAAAGAAACTGGTATTAGGAATCCGACTGTTAGCGAAACACTCTCAGAGAAAGATGGACATATTATACATTCTCAATCCAGGAGATTGGATCGATGAGCAGAACACTTCAGGGATCAGTTCAACTGGCCTTCAGCCACAATTCGGTTTCCCACGATCTCTAGTCAACCTGAATGGCAAGTTAATGTAGGTCTTCCGTCTCTTTACGAAGTTGAAAAAGCCATAGGAAATCTGAAACGTGGGAGAGCAGCAGGCCCTGACAGGTTTACTCCTGAGATTTTTAAGGATGGTGGTCCAGTATTAGCAATGAGATTAACCGAGGTCTTAGGTAGAATTTGGGAACTGGACGTAATCCCATCTGACTGGTCTCAATCACTGATTGTGGCAGTTCTTAAGAAAGGACAAAAGTCCTCTTGTGACAATCATAGAAAAATCAGTTTGACTAATATAGTGTCTAAAATATTAGCCTCAATAATACTTTGACGCCTAATCAAAGCTCGTGAAGAGCAGATTAGAGAAAACCAGGCCGGTTTTCGACCTGGACGTGGTTGTATAGATCAGATATTCACACTACGTCAGGTTCTAGAACACAGACACACGTTCAGGCGCCCCACAGTGGTAGTATTTCTTGACCTTAAGGCGGCATTCGACTCTGTTGATCGTGAGGTTCTATGGCAGTGTTTGTCACTGAAAGGAGTACCAAAGAAGTACATTAACCTTATACAGGCTCTCTACTAGAACACAACTGGTCGAGTGAGAGCTTATGGCGAACTGTCATCAGAATTGATTACATCAAGTGGTGTTCGTCAGGGCTGCTCCACTCTCTCCATTCTTGCTCAACTTTGTCATTGACGTACTTTTAGAGATAACACTTTCCTCATTTGACTTTCCAGGGGTTGAACTTCTACCGGGAGGTTCACTTGTTGACTTAGAGTATGCAGATGACATAGTTCTATTTGATGAAGACGCTGACAAAATGCAGTCTTCTGACCACTTTAAGCAACAATGCAAGCATGTTCGGGATGCGATTCTCTCCCTCGAAATGCAAAATGTTGCTTCAGGATTGGGTTGCATCGACACCCGAACTAATGATAGGGAGTGAAGTAGTTGAGTGTGTCAACCGCTTCACTTATCTTGGAAGTCTCATCAGCCCTTGTGGTTTGGTGTGTGATGAAATCTCAGCACGGATACAGAAGGCTCGACTAGCTTTTGCGAACTTGCGTCAATTATGGCGTAGGCGAGATATCCGTCTATCAACCAAAGGACGTGTTTACTGCGCAGCAGTTCGTTCCGTCCTGCTTTATGTCAGTGAAACATGGCCGATAAGAGTAGAGGATATTCGTAGGTTACTAGTATTTGATCATAGGTGTCTTCGAAACATTGCTAGTATATCCTGGGACCATCGAGTAAGTAACTCAGTTGTTAGGAAACGGGTACTAGGTAAGGATGGCAAATCAATTGATGACGTGGTGAAACTTCATCAGTTGAGATGGCTGGGACACGTGTTACGTATGCCCAACTACCAACTGCCCCGACAAGCGATGTTCAGTGGTATAGGAGTAGATTGGAAGAAAGCTAGGGGCGGCCAGACCAAAACATGGCACAAGTCCATGAAGTCACTGACAAGTGGTCTGAGTTATGTCGGTAGGTGTAGACTACCTGGTTGGGGACCGCGAGATGATAGCAACCGATGGTTAGAGACCCTGAATGACATGGCTCAAAATCGTTTGTAATGGCGCAGGTGCATCCACTATTTGTGTTCACCCAAATTTTGATCTCCTTATTTCTCATTGTCTTTTTTTTCTCTCAAATTTATTTCACTGTATTATACTCTTTAAGTAACATCTCCAAACACTAATCTTCCCGATTACTGCTTATACTCTTATTACCTCTACCACTACGGGATTTGAATTGACCACTGCATCTCTGTGTTAATGTGGTGTGGCAACTCGAACTGATGTACGTACGTACGAAGTTCTACGTTGATACTTACTACTACTTACTAAACAACACTCCAGTCGCGAGAAGGCAATGGGTAGGACTTCTCTGGCGGTGGTTGTATACACGTGGCCATGTGAGAGCATTTCGAGAGGGAGAGCTGGCTCTCCCCAATTTCGGCCGTACCAGGGCAAGGATAAATTTTAGATTCACCTGAACCTTACTTTTATCTAAATAAAAAATTACAATCGAAAAACATTGTATCAATGTTTCCCAATGACTATAAATCGATGATGTTTTGGCGAAATCAGACATTAAAATTGTTCGTACAATGGGGGAAGGAAATTAGTGAGTAATCAAAACTCATATTTTCTAACTATTGGTCGCCAATTCAAACGCAGTCTGGTGGCTGAATAGCACCCCTAAGTCACACATCTAAAGTTTAGCTCAATGTTAAGCACACGAACTTACACTTTGTTACACCAAACTTGAGTGTTTTGATGTCCTACTGTCCCTTTGTAACTAATTATTAACGAGTCTAAAATATAATGAAGTGACTTTTGTTGTTTGATTTTCTGTATTTGACTGGTGCATAAGTTTTTTAATGAAATTCACATCGTGTAAATTGTTTTATTTCTTTTAACTGTTAGATTGAGTTCTCAAACATGTGTATTCAAGGCCCTGAAGCGAATAATAAACGTCTAGCGAAACGACTTGCTGCTGAATTACTCCTTACTAAATTAGGATTGTCTAATGAAAAATCATCTCCTAATGTCAAGAGTGTTCTTCGAAGTAAAGTTATCGAATCACTGGACAGTAATATTCATGCTATTAAAAGTGTTTCAGAAAATCTGTCCTGTGGTAAGGTAGTAACATTCTTGGTGTTAAATTGTATTTTTCAATGCATGAAAAAACAAAACATGATTGCTTTTTTACTGATGTTTAGCTATTCAATGCTGGTAGCTTTCTCAAAGCATTAAACAGCTAGATATCAGTAAAAAGCATTTTTTTCTCATTAGAAAAATATAAATTCCTATTTATAATGATTATCATTTACTCAATTACCGAAATTTTTGCAAACTATTAAAAGTAGTAAGCATTGCTTTATTATATGATAATAATTGTTATCAATATAATATATTTTTTTCTAAATTCATGATCTTACAATTGCCGTTCATTATATTCTGTAAGCATAGGTCTTTTATTCATTTTAATCCCTTATTCTTATTCCCATAATTTGAAAAATGTTGTCAGTAGGCTAAGTGGTTGAAGCATTTTACTTACAGCAACCAAATTTCATGTTTGAATCCCATTCTAATTAATTTGATCTAAATAACAATTTAGCATCACCTAGACCTTACACATCGAGTGTAACCCGAATTCAGGTACATTACTTTGTATCTGCCAATTAGGTTAATAGACAAATACTAAATGAACTGTAGAAATTAGTAATTTGATAAAACTGTTATGACTGCATCTAGTCTCAAAAAGTGAACCTGAGACAAAAATTAACGTAATATGTATGTGTAGCACAGTACTCTTGGAATAATTTTTTACTATATCCTTAAATGCTTCAGCTCCAGCCGTCAATTACTAAATAAGACAGAAGTTTAATTCCTATTTCAACCGACAGTAACTCATAGAAAACTATTTGGTGTTTTTATGCACTTTCTTTCTACACTTTTTCAAGTATTCCATGTTTAGAATGCAGGATTCAAAGGTAACGCGGTAGGTTTAAATTTCGAAATGTGAATTATAAAACATCTTTTTTGATGATTGAAGTAGAATTCTTGGCAAACAATCGATTTACCGACAAAAGCAAACGTATAAGCATTGAATTTACACATTATAAGGGGTAACAACAGATAGTGCATTTCATAATTCAATCAAAATGATTTAACAGTTTGTGGTTGTCAACTATAAAAGTAAATTAATCAATAAAGTGCTAATGGTGACCACTATGCTACTTTATATATAAAATCTCATATACCTACTTTGGCTTGGACAATCAGTATCATTAGCTCATATATATATATATATCCTGAGCCTACCTAGTAATACATAGTCACTATTTACTACAAGCTTGCACGGTATACAGCGATGATAAGTGGACTCCAATTTGTATTTTGATTTGGTTATTAGTTAACTTTCTGACTCACCGCACGCCATTATGCATTATTGATGTACTTTACCAACAAAATCACCGTTTCCCAGTTGGCTAGCTTTTTTAAATCTTCCCAGCAATACGCTAACTGGTTTATCCCTTTAGTGTTGTTGTATCTACTTAAGATTTTCCATAGGATAATGGTTCTTGCAACTGAATCTAGTATATTCAATGAACAATTGAGCACTCTTATCTTTCCCGTAACGGATTTAAACCTTCCTTCATTTGTTATTGTTATTATTTTATGAGCACTAATCGATATAAAAAGATCCTTCGGCTTCTAACAACTTGTGTTCAGTGGATGCGAGGTGTTTTTCTGTCGTTTCGTCTTAACTTACCGATATGAAACGTGAAATGTGATGGAAGATAGCGTACGTAGGTTACTAGCGTTTGACCAAACTTGTCGGAGTGCCATTATTCGTGTATATTAGAACTATCAGGCAGGTAATTTTGATGTTAGGCGTACGGTAATAGGTAATTGTGGCAAATCGGTCGATATTTCCGTTAGTTGTCATTCTTTGATGTATTTGGGACATGTTTTACTCATTTCCAACAACTTTCCACTTGAATAAGCATTGTTAACTGGCTCAGGAGTATTTTTAAAGTACGTTACGAGTGGATAAACTATTAATCCAAGCTATATGATGTAGTATATACTTCCTATATCCAGATAATATTTGTGATCGGTCTTGAGAGCTAATATTATTTTGTTCATAGATTTTATTCCTTTCCGAACCTTTTTTCAGACTTGTTGTCTTAGTATCATGAACACTAATTTTACTTCTATTCCCTTGTTCAACAATTTCCTGTATTTGTTTTTGTGTAGTATGAGAACTTTAGCCAATGCACATCTGAACCATGTCCTACATTGTTTATGATTGACCGAAGCATACAAATAATCAGGAAAACACTATATTTCTATTTTTATTTTTTAAATGGAAACTAGGTGTTGTACCAGAAACTGTCAGTAATGTACACAAATCGTTATCTCCCGTGGAAAAATCAGACGATCAATCACAGAATACTATTTCTAACGAGGTTAGTTGCGTGAAATTACACACACTAATCATGAATTACGGAGAACTAAAAAGTTATTTATTAAGTTTGAACTTTGCCGAAAATCCGTGTATATGTTTCATTGGTTCCCAACAATATTTTGTCTACAGTTAATTTCAGTCAATAAAAACCTACTGTGCTGTAAAAAGACTTAGCAATACTTTTTCTATAGATATTAATTTTATGTTTTCCAATAAAAGATAATTCAACTCTGTCCTGGGCAATCCTTTCCAGTTTCTATTCATCCCTTTGATGTGTGCTTCCAATTCTTGATGGAGTGCGTCCTTTGGTCTTCCTCTTTTCAGTTCCCCTTCAGGATTTCAAGTTAGAGCTTTCCTCATGATGTAGTTTGGTGCTTTCCGCAATGTATGCCCTATCCACCTCCAGAGTCTTTTCCTAATTTCATCATCAGTTAGATGATAGTTTTTTCCCTCCCACAGTGTGCTGTTGCTGATGGTTTCCGGTCAACGGATATTGAGTATATTGGGTAAACAGTTGTTTATAAATAATTGTACATATTTGATGATGGTTGTCAGTCAGTCAGTAACAACGTAGAACTTCGTACGTACGTACATCAGTTCGAGTTGCCACACCACATTAACACAGAGATACAACTGTCGATTCAAATCCCATAGTGGTAGAGGTAGTAAAAATATGAGCAGTAATCGGAAAAATTAGGGTTTGAACATGTTATTCAAGAAGTATATTCCAGTGAAATAAATTTGGAAAGAGAAAATGAAAAGGGACATAGAGAATTCAGACGATTAGAGTTCGGAAGAACACAAATAGTGGATGCACCTGCGCCATTGCAAACGATTTTGAGCCATGTCATTCAGGGTCTCTAACCATCGGTTGCTATCATCTCGCGGTCCCCAACCAGGTAGTCTACACCTACCAACATCACTCAGTCCACTTGTCAGTGACTTCATGGACTTGTGCCATGTTTTGGTCTGTCCGCCCCTAGCTTTCTTTCAACCTACTCCTATACCACTGAACATCGCTTGTCGAGGCAGTCGGTAGTTGGGCATACGTAACACGTGTCCCAGCTATCTCAACTGATTAATCTCCACTACTTCATCAAAGCTCATATATTTACCCGTAGCCAGTCCTTGCCTTTATGTCTGCATCGTACCTACCTTGTTTAATGATGATACTGCCCAGTTACATGAAAGTACCTGGGCATATTCTAAAAGACTCATCTAATGATCGTATAAATGATTCACATAATATCCAATTATTAATAATTTTTTTCAAAGTGTGAATTGTGGCTTATTTGAAAATACTGATGTTTTGAAAATATAAAATGATTCGTTTGCTTATACATTACTTTATCTAGTGAATAATTTAATGTTTCTAATCAATTCGCCTATTCACATTTATCATATTTTACGAAATAATGAAACTTATGACTATTATTTTTACTTTATGATGATTATATAACCATAGTTTTAAGTAGACTTTATGTGAATGATGTTCATGTTTGTTATCGTTACCAATGTTAGTGTTGTTCTGTATTTTTATTTTTTTATATACTTATTTATTCGAATCCCGCCAGGCGGGGTCGTAGATGCGCACTGTTGAGGAGTCCCACAGTAGGACGAAACGGCCGTCCATTGCTTCCAAGTTTTCCATGGTGGTCTAGCTTTAATTGACTCATGATCTCAACTACTGAAATATATTTATTAATTTATTGGCATCTATATTGATACTTTAGAACGTCATAAATCGAAGAGTTAATCATAATTCTGAATCTGTAATATGGGGAGTCTGTATTCAACAGTTATTTTTATATATAATATAAAATATTATATAGGCACTTTACCGTAACGTCTAATTCATTTCCGTGTATGGCCACACGAGATAAATGTTTGTCTAGTGTTGAGTTTCATTCAATTTCGATTCTATCAGCGTTATTTCACAGTCTATCGTTTATTGGATATTTTAAATTTATGTGAAGAACTTAAGTGTTGTATAAGATAGTACAATCTGAATTTAAACCATTAACACTATGTCATCGTTGAAATATTTTATTTTTATTGAACATTATAGGAACATCATGTGAACTTCAGTTGTACTAGTGATATTCTTATCTTTGATGAAGAATTAGTGGACCCTGTTTTGTTGAGTAAAAGAACTTCTCGTCCCTTCAAAAGGTAAAGGAAGCTTTTTCATAACATATAATCTGGAACTGAATTCTAATTATTAAATTTACCACGATTTTTATGTTGAAAAGTTGTCAGACAAGCGGACAAGGACAACTTAAGGTTTTTTTTTAAAAATTACACCTATTGAGGTTACAGTGTTTTGAAAAGATATGGTAAGAAGAAATCAAACAAACTCGATAAAGAATGAAACGGAACTTAAATGATATGAATAAAAAAGTAATTGCCAAATAATTAATGAATTACTTGTGGTTTGGTAGAAGAAAGAACTGAAATGTATTTTCGCGGTTGTAAACTTCAATTTTTTAAAATCTAACATCGACCTATTTTAGTTAGTATCCTACTTCAATATGTGTAACCTATGACTCAGTCAATTCTTTTGACTGACATACATTAATCTTATCCCCTTCCAAATACTCCTCATTTGTTTCAATGTACTTGTTCTATCTGCGTTTCTATATTTCTAAACATCTTTTTAAGTTCTAAATTCCAGGCTTTTCATATGTTTAGTTGTTTTCTTCTCAAAATTGCGAGGACGAAAAGCGAATGTCCGGAGCTTTAACCGGGTTAATGGACATTGAGTGTCCACTTAGGGGAGTTGGTAAACCTTGGTCCCAAACCAAGGGTGCATATGCGCTCCAGGATCCTGAGGAAACAAATGGCGTATGAACCTATTGTTGGTCACCGTCTACCATGGGAATGCATCTCCTTACTTTGCTCTACTGCTTTGTGAATTAGAGTTTTAGGTCGAAGGCTCCGGGCGTGGCTCCCTAGGAAAACTACCTGCTTCTGTTTGGGTGCCCGGGCAGTATCACGGCCCTCAAATAAATGATAGCCACTAATGGCCTCATTGTTAATGTTCAGGACATACGTATTTGGTGCCTCTTTGTACCAATGTTTATATGTTCAAATAAATAAATAATGCTGAAATGCTTGATTCTCTTACAAAGAATTGTTTAGTAATATTCATAACCTTAGTAGCACAGTTCCTGTGTATATCAGCTCAACCATACATAATATTGTATGCTGTCTTCACTATGAACCCATAGTTGTTCACTAGGTATTGTAATTCATAAAATGAAATTTCATTGTTTCAATCACTTCTTAGTATTTCTCTTCTAGATTCTTGTTTTTTAAACTCTCTAAGTTAACTTCGTACTGTCTAGTGACACCTTAGAGTCTACATTTGTCTCACGTATGATAATACATAAGTCAAGGGCAAGAAGTAGTGGGTTTATTTTAAGCAAACTTTTTCTCAATCAAGGTAGAGACTGTTAAAGTTAATGCGTAAATATGTGAGTATTTATACAACCAATAGCATTAAAAATTAACCTATTAAGGTTAGATAAGGTCACATAATAGTTAGTATCAGTCTGTCATATTACTTTGCAACACGATTCAAGTGTAAATAGTTCACTACAAACTATTATCTGGCTTACCACTACGTGCAAAATTTTAGGATTTCGTTGTTTGTTAACCTTACCTTACATCTTTCATGTGTGTTAATTTTCTATTTTTGTTTGTAGAAAAGATATTCAGTCTAGAACAATAAGTAATGGTTCGATTCCGCGTTCTCACTCGAGTATAAATCTTTCAGTCAATGAAACTAATAACTTGCTTCAAAATTATTCTCCTACATCAACTGATCTACCGTTGGTTAGTTAATTAGTATTTTACATTTTCAACAAATGATTGCATCAAATATTTCTATTTTAGTGAATGTAAGCGTAATTACCGTATATAAATATGTGCTTATATGATTTTATATGCATGGTTTGTAGTGGTGACCCCATGCACCAAAGCAACGATGGACTCAAATAGATCATATTGCCATCGGTCATCGTTGGAGAGGGTCGATAGAAAATTGTCGCCCGTTCTGGAATACCTGTTGGGACTCTGATCATGCTCTCATACGGGAACGTGTCTGCTTGCACCTCACTGGACGCAGGAAAGTCACACCAAGAAGACCCATTAAGATTGAATTAAGTGATCAGAAAGCCGTAAATAGATTCCAGAAAGAACTGAGGTCACACTTAGTTAGTTAGTTCTGAAAATGAGGCCGACCCAAATGTTGCTTGGAAAGATATACAAACAGCTGTGACATCTATTAGTGATTTAAACCAAAGGGTTACAAAAAACAAAAGGATTTCTTCTAGGTCTATTGTATTGATAGATTCTCGTAAGCTCATCTCATCAGGCTCTGAACACGATGATGAGCGAAAGTAAATCAGATCTAGGTTAACCAAATTCCAAGGAATGACCGTGAGCAGTGGTGGACAACGACAGCAAAAGAGATGGACAAGGCTGCGACTGTAGGTAACTCAAGAGAGCCCTACAGACTAATAAAAGAAATGAATTAAGAAACCAAGTGTAAGTGCGACAATCTCAGAAAAAGACGACGCCCTTATCTGCTCCCAGCCCAGACGTCTAGAACGATGGGTAGAACATTTTAAGGAGCAGTTCAGCTGACCTTGAGCTACTCTACGACTACTCACCATCCCCAGACATTTTAGTAGGTCCCCCAACTGTAGCTGAAGTTCAAAAGTCTATAGTTAATCTGAAACGAGGAAGGGCAGCTGGTCCAAATGGACTGGCTCCAGAAGCCTTTAAGTACGGTGGTTCAATTTAACGATTAGGTTGGCTAATACTTTAGCTAAAATTTGGGAGCTAGACATAATCCCATCTGACTGGTCGCAATCGATTATCCCGTGACAACCATAGAGGGATTAGTTTAACTAATATAGCATCTAAAATACTAGCCTCAATAATTATCGGACGCCTAAATAAGACTCGTGAACTGCAAACACGAGAAAATTAGACTGGCTTCAGAGCTGGTCGTGACTGCATTGACCACATATTCACCATTCGTCAGGTTCTAGAACACAGGCATACTTATCGGCGTCCGACGATGGTGGTCTTTCTTGACCTTAAAGCAGCATTTGACTCTGTTGACCGATAGGTTCTGTGGCAGTGTCTGTCATTGAGAGGCGTGCATCAGAAGTGCATAAACCTTGTGAGGGCTCTTTTCTAGAACACTACTAGTCGAGTCAGAGCTTATGGCGATCAATCAATTGTAATTATTCTGCTGTTTCCATAATGTATCAACATAAGAAGTGTAGCCTAACGAGTTTGAAATGAAAATCTCTGTCTGCGTTCTAGACCCGGACTAAGCACCAATATGGGGATACAAGTATACCCAGCTGACAAGTGCAAAATAGAACTAAACTCACGTCCTAGATTCCACTGGCAGTCACCACTTAAAAATACTTGTAACTTAATGTAAATATCGAGGCAATCCACTCAGAATGCACATATGTCAAAAAGAAACTGATCAATGGGATTCCTTACCATCAACAACTAGAAGATTCAAACATCTAAAACTGAATCAAAATGAAATTGTTGTTCAGTGCGATGTTATTTTCGACAGTCTTCCCCCTTGATATCAGTTCGTGTTGAGAAATATCTTTGGATTAAGCTGACCTCCATAAAATACTCAAATAAAAAAATGTAAATGTTAGGAAATTTCCAAAAGTTTATACTTTTGTTTCGTCTGAAGTTAGTTATCATTTACTTGCCCGATATATATATATTTCTCTATTTTTCTTTCAGATTAATTCAGTATCTGAAAGGAATAGGAATAATCTAGATGTCTTTAGTAAAACCATCGGTTATTGGATAGGTTTGTACCTTTTCTTATTTTACTTTAATAAATGAGAGCTTTTCTTAAATAGGGAGAGAGGGAGTCTTTACGATTTATGGTGATTGATAGAATTTGATGAGCGTTAAGAATAGCTTGACAACATTGATACAGGTTATGTAAGAGTCTTTATAATTGGTAGATTACATTTAGCTTGGTAAATGTACTTGTATCCATAATAATTCATCAGATTACACCAATTTTAACGAACCTATTATGACTAAATGGAAACTGTTTTTTTTCGAAAAGCAGTGACTCTAAGATAGCACCTTATTGGTTCAGAATAAAGGAATCAAGATCATATGACAAAAAAAGAGTTAAACTAAAGCGTTTGTCATCAGTCCCATTGCACATCACATAATTACTTACACCTGTTACTCTTCTTTGAAGTCCTCCATAGTAGTTTCCTCGTCTTTGCGTAGGTCTTGTAGGGCTTGGAACCTGTCGTTGATCTTTATCGTCGTCATTGCTATCATTGGTGGGTATATAACACTGGGTAAAATTCATTGTGATTCCCTCCTTTGTTTTAAAGAGTGCTTTGATGATCCTGCATCTATGAGATTCCCATCCTATAAGTGCATTTCGTACTTCTTTGGACAGCATCAGTGCAACTCTTTGTGTGTACGAGACGTTTTCTTCTTCGTGACCCGAGCACAATTGCATCTCTCCAGAAAGTAATCCTTCCTGTCCAGTTTGGGTCTAATGGGTTTCGCTGATTTCAGGTACTGCCAAGTTGTATCTCCTCAATTTCGCAGCTAGTTGATTGGTTCTCCCTATCTCCTGCATTGTCCTGACATTTCATGCACCTATATTGATTGTTGCTCTGATTGTTAGGAGTGGCATCGACCTCGTGACATCCGAAGAATCTCGGTTTCCACCATGAGGCGTCATAGTTGTTCCGAAAGAAGATCTCTCAACTTAGAGGAAAGAGTTTAATTGGTTTAATTTGTTTAATGTGGTTGGCTTTTTTAGATTTTTTTCTACGGGATGTGGTCGCCAACCACATGCCCGACCCTCCTTTACCCAAGATTGAGACCGGCAGTAACCCTAGAAAAGCTACAGGCGAAGTTCATATCACCTAAGAAAGATGACATGAATTTAAAAAATATGAGAGTACTACATATAGTAACCGTATGAGTTGTAGTAAAAAGCATCAAGCAAAGTCAATATTATTCGAGAATCAAGAATTAATTTGCAGAAAAAAACGTATGAGACAATTTTAGAACACAAGATCTAAGGAAAAACAAAGAGTACATTTGTATCACTATGGTTGATACCGAGACATGTCACTCGTTGTCTTTATTTATTTAGGGTAATTTGATGAACTCGAACGAGGTGAGCTGTACTTACCTACTTGGCTCAGTCCGACAGTCTTCATAGACTGACTCCACGTTTTTGTTCGACCACATATAGCTTTCTTCCTCTACTAGCAAACATCATCTTTCAAGGTGGATAGTGGTCGGGCTATTGTAATATAGTTTTATAAAGATAAGATTATCGTAATTTTAATGCATTTCATTAAATGCATATAATTTTAGATTCCAAAAAGTCAAAACCCAATCAGAGGTCCTATGCACGAAGTCATTCGGAAGTCGATTTCACTGAAGGCAGTCACTGGTATCGAAAGTTCGATGGCATCTATGATAACACATCTCTTGATATTATTACTGATTGTACACGTTCTAAATCGAATATAAGACTACAACTTTTGGCCCGTGTCGCTGAGTATTGTTTACAAGAACACGGTCCCAACAATTCAATACACAAAATGAATGAATATCATACGAGTCAAGTTACCAGTTTAACTGATCAACTGGTGTTTCTGTGTAGGCGTCTGCTTGTTCCTTGTCATTTTATTGAATATCCACCTAAATTGAACATAGTGTACAAGGTACCTTTTTAGTTTGATTATTGTACTGAATTTTGTACTTTATTAATATTTGGTTTATAATACTTAAAATTAGTTAATAAGAGATACTATAATACGATTGTAACTTTTGGTGACTATCAAAATAATTCGTCCAAAGTAAAAATTGCTTCAAATTCTGGGAGTAGAAATGCAAAGTTTACTCATGACTTTTATAACCTGATAAAAATACTGAGTCATGATTGTTTAGAGCACCTCTGAAAGTTGTCAGATATAAAGCTCTTCAAGCGCTCCGCTGTTTCGAATTTTCCAGGATCGTTTACATATACGGTACTCCCGAGTTTTGTATCCTGGCAATTGGAAAGCATATGGAACGACAATTGCTCTGACCTTACAGTTTTTAGAGCCCTCATCTAAACGTTTGATTGTTATGCTCTACAGTGAAAATACCAGCTTCCTAACTGTTGCCAAACTAGCCATAAAAAGTCCGAAACTTAGGAGACTCTATCTCAAAAGCTAAATGCTAATGCATGCATCTCATGCGTATGCCTAGAAATTGTAGAACTGATCCACACAGGGACGTGTAAATGGTGGCTTGGTCTTTGTGTGTAATTCGCTAACTCACAGTAGCCTAACCCCACTTATATCCCGTCTTGGCTTGTGACTGCATGTTATCTGTCTGGGATCCCCCAGGGTATCGTTGTTACGCTTAAGAAAACGTTTTCTCATTACATAGTCTCCATAAACAGCATTTAAAGATTCATACGTCTCCTGAAATTTTTTCGTATTTTCATCGTAAGACTTACTGTAAAATAATGAGTATAGAATCCGGAGCCTTCAACCTAAAGGTGTGATCTAAAAGGCAAGCAGCAGCGTCAGGAGATGTAGTCCTATAGTAGACGGTGACCAACAATAGATTCATACGTCATTTGTTCCCTCAAAATCCTGAAGCTCATGTGCACCGTTGGTTTGGAATCAGGGTCTCCCGACTCCCCTAGGTGGATCCTCCGTACCCACCACCATTACGATTAGAGCGTCCGATATTCGCTTTTCGTTCTCTCAATTTTGTAATCAACACTGCAGTCGCGAGAAGGCTATGAGTAGGACTTCCCTGGCAGCGGTTTTATGCACGTAGCCATGTGAGAGCATTTGGAGAGGGATAGTTGATTCTCTCCAACCTCGGTCATATTAGGGCATTCGCGGACAAACAAAGAGAATATACTATCAGTTATTTGTGTACAAAGAAAATGGTTTATTTCCTGTTATTTTGGTTATTTATTTATCTAAATTAGTCCATTAATTTATTTCAACTACTACTCATTACTTTAAATGGATGAATATTTAATAGAATTAGTATTTTTTCCCCTTTATTTTAGTCTGAAAAAGAATTCAACACTAAATATTGTTATGAATACACAGTTATCTTGTTTGTTGGTATTAATCCTATGAAAGAGAATTCAATTAATAGTAATGGTTATATAACAGTAAAAGCTACAGATTTAACAAGAAATTCAGCAAGACAAAAAGCTGCCCAAAGTGTAATAAAATGTTTAACAAAATTAATTTGAATAATGATTATTGATTTCGATTATTTTCTTTTTTTTGTCTTTCTTTTGGTTTCTTCATTTAATTAAGAAATGATAAACTTTGTCCAGTTTTTATTTCTTTTTTTAGAAGGATACATGCTTTTGTAGTCATTTAATTTCTTTTTTTTTCGTTTATTCTTTACAAAATACTTTCTATCCGAAGGGGTTTTGTGGAGATTTTTAGAAATTTCAATAATTGAAAACATGAGTCAACTGAAGTTAGACCACCATGGAAAACCTAGAAGCACTGGACGACCGTAGTATGGGACTCCCCCGCGGGGGCCGGGATCGTGGATGCACACTGTTGAGGAGTCCCATAATAGGACGAAACGGCCGTTCAGTGCTTCCAGGTTTTCCATGGTGGTCTATCTTCAATTGACTCATAATTTCAACTATTGAAAATACTTTTTGTTTTTGCATTTTAACTTCTCAAATTTTATCAAAAGCATTTAAGACAAAGTTTTGAATCATTAATACTTTTATTCTATTTTATAGTTACATTCAAATTCTTTTTTTAAACTTAAATCTCTACGATACTTGATAATAGTTCATTTAAATGACAATGTGATTATTTTCAACTTTCTATACAACACTACTTTTTATTGATTCAAATTCTTTCTAGTAAACGTTTCACTCATATTTTCATCAGCAATCGTATTTATATGACTAATTGAATTAGTTTTATGATGACAAACAGATTGTTCTGTTAAAATATAAATAAATAATGCTTAACTTAGCAAGAATACTAGTTCATATAATCACAATTGATTGACCACTGGGTGGTGATCAATGTCATGTGTGTCAAGTCCTTCTTAGTGCAGATCGAATGCTATCGACCAAGTTGTACTGTGGCTACTAGTCTAAGTGACTCGACATTACGTGCACTATGTTGAGATTAGATGGTGATTGAAGGTAGTCAACAGGAAACCCTGGATCCGGGTTTCATGCTGCTTGGCACTCGTCAGCAAGGTGTACCTGTAATCTTGATGGAACTGGTGCTTCCTGACGGACTCGATCCCTTGCCACCCAGCTTCACAGTCAGAGATGCTACCACTAGGCTATCCGGTCCGTGACCGACCTCATGCACGACTGAGATGTAATCACAATTGATTGACCACTGAGTGGTGGTCAATGTCATATGTGTCAAGTCCTTCTTGCGAGTTCATATATATTAGTCAACAACGTAGAACTTCATACGTACGTACATCATTTCTAGTTGCCATATCACATTAACACAGAGATACAATTGTCGATTCAAATCTCATAGTGGTAGAGGTAGTAAAAATATGAGCAGTAATCGGAAAAATCAGGGTTTGAACATGTTATTCAAGAAGTATATTCCAGTGAAATAAATTTGGAAAGAGAAAATGAAAAGGGACATAGAGAATTCAGACGATTAGAATTTGGGAGAACACAAATAGTGGATGCACCTGCGCCACTGCAAACGATTTGAGCCATGTCATTCAGGGTCTCTAACCATCGGTTGCTATCATCTCGTGGTCCCCAACCAGGTAGTCTACACCTACCAACATCACTCAGTCCACTTGTCAGTGACTTCATGGGCTTGTGCCATGTTTTGGTCTGGCCGTCCCAAGCTTTTTCTAACCTACTCCTATACCACTGAACATCGCTTGTCGGGGCAGTCGGTAGTTGGGCATACGTAACACGTGTCCCAGCTATCTCAACTGATTAATCTCCACTACTTCATCAAAGTTCATATATTTACTCGTAGCCGATTCAAATTTTCAATGTGGAAATAGTTGGTTAATCTGTATCGATTGCTCTGACAAGGAAATAAAGTATACAGTAGAATTACTTAGACCGTATGATATTACAAATTAATGTTCCCTCTAATCGATCACCACTTTTAAATGTTGGCACTTAATTTAGCTAGACCCAATCAGGTATATATGTGCATAAGTTTTTATAGGCTTTTACAAGTAGTCTACATAGAATAGACTACTGGTAATCTCCGACTTAATAAATACGATTTAGGTAGCACGTACTGTTGTAACGGGTAAATGCTGATTATGGAGCAGCGACTTATCGATCGGAATAATGACACGAAGACACACGGACGAACGACCTAGAGTCCCGATTGGCCCCTGCTTCGCTGTCTAGCCCAGCCAGTTGAGTCCAGAACACAAGTCTCAGCCTCTGAGTTATGAATCATTATATTTCAGACATACTCTGTTTATATATCAATCAAACAAACCACATCGTACCATAAAATAGAAAACAATATTTAACAAGTGAAATAAATACTGACCGATAGGGGGATGTTCATTCAACGTCCAAGGACACCATTAGACTTACCATGATAATTATTGGTATATTTTTCTGCACATCCTAACACGTATGTAATTGCATGGTTATGTATTTTGATTTATCTATTTGAAAGTGAGAAACTGTTGAATAGCAATGCAGTGTATATAGTTTTCGGGTGGTAATCAATTCACTGGGTTTTTTCCATCGCTTTAGTCTGTTCTTACCAGGTTGTATGTATATCATCTTTATTAAGCTATTGACTTATCATGAAATACGTTTGGTTGATGGCATATTAACTCTTCCCTATTTCTTTGCACAGTAATTCTAGTTATAATACGATCGTACACTAAGCTAATAATTCACACTTCCGACATTATTAGCTATGAAAGAGACTAGTTATGTCTTTTTCTTCCCTACTTCTTCGTTATATTATAATGAACATACGTCAAGGGAACGAAAAATCGCTTCGCACTAATTATAATAAAATATTTAATTGGATTTGACCAGAAGTAAAATTAATGGAAATTACACTGAATCAATACAAAACTCACAATTAAATCAGTACAAGATCCTTTATTTAATTTGTTATTACTAAATTGTCTTTGGGAACTTAACATCCTCCAACATATTAGTAGTTCATAAACCTCAGATAAAGCGATTGCATTTATCATTTTAAAAATTACAGCGAATATTTTATTGACTATATGTATGACTATTACAAGAAGTGGCAGGAAACTAAACTTCTCGTATAAAACAAATTCGTGCATAAAAACAGCAAACTTCTATGGAGCTAGTCGTTCGTATACCCAACCATTTTCTCCAACATGTACTAGGTCAGATCCATTTATTTCTGGAATTTGATCACAACGACGAAATCTAATACGATCATGTAGTCTGTTTGTTTGACCTTGCCAAAACTCAATTGATTTCGGAGACAGAATATATCCTCCCCTAGCAAAATATAAATAATAGATTTTTTCCAACGTTATCAACAATGTGTTATCTTGTACAAACGTGGGTCGGTACAATTTTTCACATGAAAATAGGATGCACACAACTACCACTATGAAAGTCATACGGTTCGAAATAATAATAGTATTATCAGCGATAGTAAAAGCTAAACATATAGAATTTAGTCTGTAAAAATAAAATTGAACGACCGATTCAGTGAAATAATGTTAAAACGCAAGATCTGGAGAAGTATGAAGAATGAACGGAAACTTGCCAGTGCAAAAGATTTCGTCTAGTGTCAACTACGGTATGTAGTCGTAGGTTGCGGTTCTGTAAAATAGTCAATGATTAATTTGGCTTCATTTAGCCTGTCGTGGTAGCCAATGTTCTTCTACATTTCTGAAATCTCAGTGAAAGTTCACAACACCGTCAGACGGTTTGTAAACATTATCTAGTAACTACATCTAACTACAGTATTACCAACTTGGTTTTATAGAAACGCCACTTCCCATAATCAAAACAGGAACAATCCATTATAGCCAATTCAACTTTGTGACTGATTGACTGACTGAGCCAAACTGACTAATAATTGCTGAAAATGTTGAGATGCACGGTAATATACCATAACTTAATGTCTTTAGTAGCGGAATCCACGCATATAAAAGATATAAATGCAGAAGTAGGTTTTATATTTTACGATAAATAGCCGTAACAACAATTGGTCAACATACTTAGCCATTGTTTAATTCAGTAGCAGCTACAAGTCAGCATTTTAAGCTCATTGGTGTTAATTAATGAAAACTGCCTGCACTCATGAAGAAACTTGAGAATCGTAGGGTCCAAACCTACTGTGTTTTTTTAGCAGTCATTACTTGATTGATCAACAGACTCGACATAAAGTTTGTGATACCACATAATTGGCTAATCATTACAACAAATAACCTAAGAATAGAAAATGAGTAAGTTTAAAATTTACCAACTGAATATAAATCTATCATGTTACTCCTAAAACTAGTAACAAGCAAATAACTAGATCGGTTTTTATATATGCTTAATTCTGTTGTGTTTTGTTTTAAGTGATATAGGTCGTACAGCCAGAAGAATCCATCATCGTATTTCTGGTCACCCATTATGGTGGATCAAAGGATAATAGAAAACAATAAGGAGCCATAATCTACTAAGTTATGTTAGTATTTCAACTTTTAAAGTTATCAACAGAGTTCTACTGAACTCAAAACTAAAACTCCTACATACAACGGAAGCCATAGAAATACACATGAACAAACCTGATCTTCTGCATGCAGGAGACGCTTTTATGGCTCCTTAATCTACCTTAGCCTTCCACTTAGTCACTTCTACATTTCTCAAAAAAGATTTTTAATCTTTTCAATGCCGATTCAATTTTATTTCCTGGTTTTATTCTTACGTAACTTGCCTTTATAAACTGATTATCTAATTATTGGCACAAGCTTTATTACTTATCCATTATCAATTTTACAAGTAGCATTATTCATTCATATTCAGATGGTATGAATTTTCACCATTTATTTGATATGGATTTTTATACTTAACCGTAAACCAATATATTTGTGAAGAGCTATGACCAGGAACTAACTAGAAAGAAAAACCTTTTTTCCTTTGACTTATTTGTAAATAGGAGAGATATTTAGACGATTAGTGCCTGTTTGACATGTAAGACTACAAATCTGAATGTTGGGTATCATGTACCATATCAGAAGTAACTAAGTTAATTAGTCTCCTGATATTGAAAATATAGGTAGATAATGATATGATTCCCACTAGATGTAAATAGCTAATTCATAAAGGTATATATTAGGAACGTACCAATTTGAAGGCTTTGGAAGCTTTTCTCTCGCAGCATATTCATTTTCTAATTCTACGTACTTTTTGTCCAGAAACTATTTGAAGCGAGAAAAAAAACTACACTATTATCCCAAGACGTTGTGAACCAATTCGATATGATGTAGTCAGATGAAAAAATAGTCGAAGAAATATAAATGACTACTTATTTATTACACTCTAACATTAAGAATCCTACCGCCTGAACAAAAAACATTGAGGAAGGAGTGATGAAAAACGAATGAAGTGTAAGGTTTAAAGTTTCTGTAGTAAATAAACTGATTGAACACCTATAAAATGATGAGATGGTTGAACAAGACGTCGCATACGCCTACATACAGTTTATCTGTGCATGGTATGTTGGTTAAGAGATCATAAAAAGATTCATAGTTGATGTACAAAGATGTAGTACCGATTCGAGAAGTTCCAAATTGTTGTTTTGATATGTTTATTTGTAATGAATAAAATATATAGCATGGAGATTGAGTAGTTGAGGTTAGTTGACATAACACAGATTTACATAATGGGGATTTATTTACATGCTCCTTCAAGACAATTTAAAGATTAATCTGTCAGAATCATCTGAGCTTTAAGTAATTTATGAATCTTAACAAGTTCTAGATTACAGTTATTATCAAGAAGTATTTCCATAAAAGTTTCGGTCTCTTACTTGTATGAACATAAAAGTTGCGTTCGATTAGAAAGATATCGTTGGAATCCATATATATATATATATATATATATATATATATATATATATATATATATATATATATATATATATATATTGAAGTGAGAAAATTTGTTAATCCAAATAATGTCCTATTCATGTTGATTTTACTTAGATTAATCACGCCCATCATCTATTTCATCACTTACTACATACAAAGTACAAGAAGTATGTGTACTAAATTCTGCAGTTAAAATCGAATTGGTACCACACCAACAGATTAGAAATGCTACGTTTATTGAGATAATCAAAATTCATAGTCAAAATATGAAGTTTACATCTATGAGGAAAGATTCTTTAGTATGTGTAGATGAAGAGCGCTTTAATATAATCAAACACAAACTTTCAGTAAGATACTCTATTCATTTCAGATATTTAACTTACTTCACGACAAGGAATTGGTTCACTTTGTGAACTAACTGTAGCAGAAATTTGACTAGCCTTCGGACGGGACTGAAAATATTCTTCATTCTCTTCCTCTGAAGCACGTGAAACAACGCCTTCCACACGTACCTACTCAAAAAATATAATTTGAAAGAATGTATCTAGCAACATTTTTGATAGAAAACACATTAAGTTACAATACATAAAACGTCATTTTCAAAACATTAGTGAACCGTAACTACCAATCTTGTGGTAATTTTATACTTACTGTTAAGATGTTAGTAATTTCCCAAAATAATTCTTTTACAGTATACTCTAGGGGCCTCAAGATGGTAGGGATGATTTTTATTTTAGGTAGATGATTTTGGTGAACTTTCATTGAGTCAAGTTACCTAATTCAGAGAATGAAAGTTCACCAAAATCTGAGAACTTTAATATTGAAGAAAGCAAATAATATATTTTAAACCACATTTCACTATAACTACGATTAGTTTTCTCCTAGGTTATTTTAAAGAATGAGTTGACAAATGTTATGTTTGATTCTGTTCTGACTGTGGGATGTTTAAATGATTTGGCCTCTAAAAGAAATCAAAATGATATAAAAATATACCAATTTTTACATGATTTAACCGTCAGACTCGTATGAATTAAAACATTTAACACTAATGAATCAGTAACTTACTGTGTGAACACATCTACAATCTCACACAATGAAGCATCTATAACCAACAAATATGACTAATTTAATATTTAGTTACTTACGCCTGTTACTCCCAATGGAGCATAGGCCGCCGACCAGCATTCTTCAACCCACTGTCCTGGTCCTTTTTTTCTCGTTCTATCTAATTGTTGTTTATTCTCCTCATATCTGTCTCCATTTTTCAGTGTAGTGTTCTTTGTTCTCCCTCTTTTCCTTTGGCCCTAAGGATTCCAAGCGGGGCTGTTGGGTGGGTTCAGTGGGGCTGGTCGATTCAAGAGTTCCTTGAAGTGCTCTTCCCATATGTTTCGCTGTTCTTCAACGTTGGTGATTACTTTGCCTTCCTTGCTTTTCACTGGTCGTTCTGGTTTACGGTAATTTCCAGCGAGCTTCTTTGTTGCATCATACTATTGTCTCATGTTTCCTTTTCTTTTAGCCTTTTCCGCCGTCATTGCTAGATCTTCTACATATTTACGTTTTTTGGTTCTGATGCTCACTTGCTTGTTTACTTCTGTGTATTTAGCTTGTGTCTTGGCTTTCTCTGCTCTTGTTCGGTTGATATTGATTTCTGTCTTCTTGTTCCTCCTTTCTTGAATCTCATCTAGCGTATCAACCGTGATGCATCCCTTGTGATGGTGCTTCTTGTGACCCAAAACCTCATGACATGTTAAAGTGATTGCCTTCTTGATCCTCATTGGAATAAGTTTACATGTCACAGATGATTAAGTCCATGTCATTCGCACTTTAATCGATCAAGTCATTGGTCTCCGTGTAAATAAAAATATGCATTCATTGTAATAATCATTCAATCTATATGTTACAATAATATGATTAAATGAATTGAATATACATCAAGGAATTAAATCTATTGTTTATGCACCGAACATTCAAACATGATAGAATGACTATGAACTATTTGACAGATAAAAAGTGATCACTGACGGATAAAAACGAATATAACTAATGGTCTTTCATTTCTACCTGTTGTAACACATGTCAATAACAAGTAGGTTTAGTAGCCCGTTGATCTGACTCCAATTTCAAAGAACGAATGGATATTTAATGAGTATAAGTCTTCTACTTAACGCCGTATATTACACCTAGGCTAACCCCGTTTGTGTGACTGTAGTAATAAAAAAGCCTAATACGGTTTGCATTGGATGAGTTTATTTCAAGCATTAGTTTATTCAGACAGATATTTAGAATGAAAAGTGAGAAAGTGGGACGGTGAAGACGAGTAAGTCAATTAGTTTTAACGAGGCGTGACTCAATATTTACAACCAAAAGTAAACCAAAGACATGTGATGGATAGGGTAAGCAATACGCACACAAACATAAGCTTAAATGAGAAGTTAAGGTTGTAAGTGGATAACTGACAACGTCAAAATGTGAATCAAGAAGAATGGACAAATCAGTCTTTCCTGAAGCCGTAATAACCCAGATGGGCTTGGCACAGTACTAGACAAAACACAGGTAAAACGAAATGTCCAGCATATTATATATGCTTTAATAGTAGGCTGCAATTTAACCGGAATTTTCTGAAATCTCATCAAGTGCTTTTTGACACAATAACCTATCTCGTAGGAAAGAATACAGTTGAAACAATACATAGGATTCAGAAAGAATAATATACATTATAGACATCTGAAACATTGTTCGTGTCAATCCAATTTCGATATTTCCATAATGATGCTAATATGTTGACAGTTTGTCAATTTATCAATCATAAAAAACACAGAACATCGAACATACGTTCATTAGTTGAAGTTGAGAAATTATATCAGCACATCAGAAAGATTATTAAGATAAATACCTCAGTAGTAGAAGTAAAAGTATTAGTGACAGTTTAAAACATTAGGAAAGGACTGAACTATTCGGGAAGAAAGAACTAATTTGCGAAACAAAACAGTATAAACTAGATTTAGAACTCAAAATTTAAAAGACAAAGCGTGAATGTATTTTCTCCCGAGGCATCTTGTTGACTCGAATAGGAAGATAGGCGATAACGAAATATAAAGCCTTATTTACTTCATAGATATCCTGTCAACTATCCCTGTTAACAACAACGGAAATTGAGAAGTTGAATCCGAGAGTATTTTGAATACTAATAACCTACGAATATCCTATTTTTAAAGGCCGACTTCCACAGCCATAGAGCAGAACAAAACTAACTTCCACCCAGCATACTCGTACCTTTGTTGGAAAACAGGTATCTCGCCTAGACCATAAGTAGCACTGGTTGAGAATGTTATAGTATAACAGACGCTAATAGTTTATGCAACCAAATAAGGTCGCAAATATATTGGTAACTCGAATAATTATATATATATATATATATATATATATATATATATATATACAAACTTTAATTATACTGTACAATTAGTGCGGCTTGTATGCATGGGCAGTGTCACAAAACTTAACAGCCAATAAAATTTTCAAATGAAAAGGACCCTAGTCAAGATCCGCTGATCATGCTTACATCCAATCAATTACCGATAGGCTAGTCAGTGAGACTTAATATTCTGACTAATCAAATTGTGATAAAAACCAAAATTCAACATTTCTAACATATTTCATATGTATGTCTAAAATATGACATGTAATAAATCAGTCTAAGGACGTCATATCTTCTTTTTGTTGTGCACATCAATTGAAGATTTATCACCTTGTACATTTGGTAGAAATTTTCATCTTCATATAGATCGCAATTGTGGTTTTAAAGAACATTAGAAATGTTTTAGAACAGATACTTATCTTTCCAAAAAAGTGACACTAAAAATTATCATATTTTTGTTGTGACGTTAAGTGTCCGAAATCTGATATTGATACACGACGCGCTACGAGCTAACCCCCTCCACCCGACTGACTACTCTACTCCCCCCCAGGAAATCAATCCATTTTTTAACCAATGAAATGCACTAGTCTTTCAGGTCACTACTAATTGCCATTGACTGACATAATTTGGCTACTTCTGATTGGATGATCATATCAATTTTCATTACCCCCGAATTTACCATTTAGTGTTTACAGACGACGTAATGATCAAAGACCTATGAATTACGCATAACTTTCATTCTTAATGATTAAGTCTCAAGAGATGCAAACTAAAATAAAGAAATACCAATAGATAAATTCATCTTTCATGTAGTCAGGGATCCAACTCACCAACCATATATGTTGATGAGTGGTAAAAGAACCTTTTGTATTCATGTTGAGATTTTGTAGACTACCGGTCGTTTATCAGGGTCGATTTAACTCCTTAAATAAAGAATCGAGTGATTCAAATAATCGTTATTACTGACTGTTTTAAATATAATTAATAAATTGCATTTATAGTTTATCATTAATTTGTGATCAAAACTTCTTTGATATATATGTACATCTAAAAGAACAATAAAAGTCAATTCAATGAATAAAAACTAAATTTTTGATAGCGATGTTCACCAGGTTTTGATCCTGTGATAGCATAAAAAATTACTTAAACTACAACGTAACGCTACACCTGAATCCAATTTGTAATCAATTTCAGTTACTATCTAACGAAAATTCAGACAAATTAAAAGCCTTATTCTTTTGCTGTTGTCTTGAGGACTTTTTATTCTTGAGTATGCGGATGATATTGTCCTACTGTGCGACCTGAACTCTCCGAGTTGAAGATTTTAGACAACTCTCTGTGTTTGATTACCGTCGTCTCCAAAGGACTGCTAACATCCAGTAGCAACACTATTTTAGTAATGCAGAGGTTCTTCATCGTGTGCTCGGACACGGCGATGATGATTCAATTGTTGTCACTTTCGTGAAACATCGTCTTCGGTGGCTTGAACATGTTTTACTAATGCCTGAGTAGAGATTTCCACATAGTACATTATTTTCCAACTCTGGGACCGGTTGGAAAAGGCGGAGAGATGGTAAGTGTATGACATAGTGTCGTAGTATGATAGAAAACTGCGCAGAACTGGTTTCTGTTAGTCCCTCACGACTCTCTGATTGGGGCCCTGGAGGTGATCCAATAGAGTGGCTAGAGACGTTATCAGACATGACTCAGAATATAATCTAGGAGCGATCATGCCGTGACATTCTTTTACTTTCTTCATAAGAACGAACGTTTCTTCTTTGATTGAAAGAACTCTTTCTGGTTGTATTTTTGCTAACTGAGCTGTCTCCAACCACTATTATTATTATCATTACTTCACTGGAGTGCACTAATTTCTATTCCGTTTTGCTCTATTTTATTATACTCATCTTCCTTTCTCTATCACCTTACAATCTCTTTGTTATTGTGTGGCGCTGGCTCAGAATCGATCACAATGGCGTCGGTGCATACACACCCTGTCTTCCCTTAAACTAAGAGATTAAAATCGCTTCATATCTTTATTTCTACGAACTAATTCTATATTCCGGTACCGTATCCTTATATGCAATCTTTCTCCTATATATTACCACCTTTAACCTAACCACTCCTATGAATCCGGTGTTCATCTTGCTGTGCTAATGAGGTATGGCAACCTGGACCGATGCATATATGTGCCTGGCCCTACGTTGTAGCTGACTGACTGACTATTGTGTGGCGCATATGTATCTGGTGCCTCTTGCACCAATGTTTGTGTCCAGTTAAATAATACATTATGAGCTTGATGATCTAAAAGTTTTAGACCAGTTAAATGGACAAATCATTTAATCATCATTACTTAAAAGGGAATTTAAGATTCGGCTTAAAGATTTCTAATTGATCAACTGTTCTTACCTGACGTTTAAGGGGTTCCCAATAAAAAACAAGACTTGCATGTGGATTACTATCAAGCTCTTGAGCTTTCCTGCTATTATAATTAGTGAAAAAGTGAAATCCATTTTCATCCAATTCTTTCAAAAGAACAAACCGTACACTTGGAATACACTGTCTGACAAGAAAAGTTTCGATATAAATTGATTAATAAGACAAATATGAGGAAATAAAAGCATTAGATCAACTGTGAATGAAAAATAAACACTTTTATACAATACCGTATTATAGTTCTTTTAGTGTTAAAATCTTCACCAGTATTTGTGTAACAATGTTCTTGGTTGAATTAATGTGAAATGTCTCGACAATTCTGTTTATAAACATTAATTTTATGGGAACATTTGAGGTAAATCCCTACTAAAATTACGCAAAATTTAGTCTCATTTCACAGTGGGACCTGTATTTATGGTTTAATATAAAAATTATCCTGGTAATAAATGGAGCTTTATATAAGTATATATTTTTGATTTTATATTCATTTCCAAATAACTGGTCGGTGACCAATGCTTCATGAAGAGTAATAGATGTAAGTCTACATAACAGCTTGATATAAGAAATTAACCGACATTTCTTTTAAAAACACCATGGGTATATATTATGTGATGAAATCGCGTTTACTTTCCCCACCAATCTTTGAATCTCTGAAGTTAGTGAACATAAGTCTAAGTAACAGGATAGACAAATGACTTTGAATGGCGAGAATTTCAGACCAAAATACTTGGAATACCAATCTGTATGAAAGATTTCAGAAAATCTTTCAAAAGAAGTGAATAGACGTCATCGATAACACGTTTTTTTCTGAACACCTATTTACACAAACGAGGGGTTTAAACAATTTTTACTGGATTTTCTAGGATATAGTTATCATTCAACCTAATAAAAAACTAATGAAGTAACCTGGAAGCACCAGAAAAGAATGATATTGAATAATCATAAAATAATATAGCTTTATTTTTGAAATGTATCTATGGATTAGTGTAGTTAGCTTTTTTATCTTCTAATAATGATCACTACAAAAGTTCTGATTTGCAACCCTAATCAACCGTTTGCTAATTTGAATTCTTCCTCTTTAATTTGATAAAAACACGTCAGAATAGTACGTTTAATTTAAGAGCTATTTTGAACAACAAGAGTCTACAAAAACAAACGTTTAGTACTTTTCATTGAAGTTAATCAATGTATTGGAAAAAGATTGCTCTAAGATCAAAGAGAAATTTCAGCCAACATTGATTGCTGCTAGAAATGTTTTATATAATTTCTATATCAGTAAACCAACGGCCTATAATCCAGTAATATACAGGCTGACGGTCCATAACTACGTTTAACGTTAGTTATTAACAACAAATACTATAATTTCCTCTTAGATGCTTTCGATATCTCGTGATGACCACTTTTTGACAACTTACTATAATAGCCACTATCAGTTGGTTGACAGAGTTACAACATGAATGCCTAAACACTCACATCATCAAAGATAAACTGAACATCTTGAGTTTCCATAAATTCCATTAAGACTCACTGACATATGAATATTTCCTACGAATATATATAACCGTTTCAAACATCGAACATTTTTTAATGATTACAATACATTGGAACAAGGTCCTAGATAGTCCATCAAGCCAAGTATGCTTCCATCAACTAGGGGAGAGCCATAAATTTATAACACGCCAAATAATAAAGATATACTTCTATAATTACTGACTTCCAACTTAAAACTGTACATGATTGACCATATGCTACTGTTATATATTCAGCAAATAAATGACTATTTATTGAATCTAACATTTCTGAACAACTGGCACATGATTTACTATTTTTTCATAACCGCGCTAAAAGTTAACATTGCTTTTGGGTACGGATGTGTACTCACTCATAATTGTATACAATCAAATCACAACAAAATAATTTTCAATTACTCTTTGACTACATTTCTTGTACAATGGAAGTGTAACTCATAGATATAATATGAGAAAAAATCATAGTAACTTACTTGCTACACGTTGCAAGAGCCATTGCATTAGGTTCAAAAACATTTTCACATTCGATAGCTTCTTCAAACCACGACTTAAACAAAAGTAAGGGATCTTTGTACTTTAAATTTATAATATCAAATATATCATTGGATTTTCTATATGGAACTCGTAAATCTAAAATTACAGACAATTAACAGAAACATATGCTAACACATACGGCTGATTTTCAGTTGGTTATTCATGGTTGACAGGCTACAGTAGAACGTTCGTAGCATAAAAAATCTGGCAACAAATTAATTGCTTCCTATGGAAATATCTTCAAACCAATAAAAGAAGCTGAAGTGCTAAGATGAGAAAAGCAATGAACTTTTTAACACAAGACATAAAAATACACTTTTTGACAAAATATTGTTTTGAATTTTTCGGTGATTTGGTGTAATCTAATTTAGTAAATTTTGATCCCATCATTTTATTTGGTCCATACTGTTTAAGTAGCAAGAGAAAAGTTGAGAATACATAAGTAGCTATTCGGGTTATAAGATTTAAAGTCCGATTATGCTAACTTATTTTTTTGTATTTGTGCGAATTCGTCATCAATTTACGGCTTTATTGCATACTGATGAAAGGTTAGCCAACCAATAGTAATGAACATCAGTACATGGTTCAAAACTTACCTAAGTGCGATTCCGGAGGAGCAAGTGACTAACTACAAAAAAATCATTATAACTCATTACTTTCTCAATTTTTTGCCAGCGATGCTCATTTAATAATCTCATTACATGTAAACAGTCCTTTACAAGTGCTGATAATCAGACATGTGGAGCCTTCTTGTTCACAATTAATTATTATACACAAACAAAGTAACAGGGGTTACAACTGTGTAGCAAAATCATGACTCTGGTGAAAAGTTAAAACTCTTGTCAGAGACCTAGGTGACAAGAGAAAGTTTTAGACGACTTCTATACTTAGAGCATGAGATTATAACTAATCTCCATAAAAAGACAAACAGATCGAAGAAATGCTAACCTTCAATTAGTGTGTTTTCAAGGCTTGCACCAATATATATATAATTTGGAACAATGAACTAGAATCAGTCGAACTTTAACTTACCCCTTTTCTTATGATGTGCCTACATTCATTCTGCTTTTGTGTTTTCGCATAGTTTCGACATTCATCCCTTTACCCTATTGTTGAATCGACGTTTTGTCAAGACATTTTGTTAATTCTCTTATTAAATATGATTAAGGTTGGCATAGTTACTTTTAATTTACCTATTCTAGTTACTTCATCACACTTTCAATTGCTTAAAAAATCGTTCGATATTACTTCTTTGATCACTCCTAAGAGTATAACACTACAAATCACTACTACATAATAATTATTATATTATTGTAAAACACGTCTTAGAGTGGTGGAATGATGAGAAAGTAATGACAAGATTGTCATACCAACGACTTTCAGAGTTCATGGGCAGGCTTCAGGCTAATCAACCAAAATGCAGCTTTCGTGTAAGATCTCTATAATATAGGAAGGTGATAAAAGTATGAAGGATGGGAAGTTTGAAAACCATTTATGGGCTTCGCGATGCTAAATATAAAAACTTCAGGTTTGATATCACTTTTTGCGGTAAAACACCCAAAGGTTTAGCTGTACATCTTTGAAAACGTAACTCCCAAACCAAAAACTCCTTGCACATAACTCAGAACCCTAAAACTTCATAATTCGGGCTCCTGATCCTAAAACCATTCAACTCTACATTACAACTACAAGGAAACTTGACCCATTTTGAGGAAGCCGATATAGTAAACTTTTGATAAACGACACCAAAACTCCAAAATTTCCCCAGGTCTAGAGAAATTTCCCAAACTTCGGCGAAGGTCACTTGACTTTGTGGGTTTCCCCGAAATACCCCAAACTTGGGAGATTGGGTTGATCTGATTAAAACTGTCAACCAAAAGGAATATCTCTGATAAATTACTAAGTTGTTAAATTCGAGAAGTGTGTGGGAATAACGAAAACTTAGGCGATGCACGTCTAACATAAAGAGTTGCGTGAGAAATCTAATCTCCTTATTTTGGGGATATCCCCAAAGTCCAATGATCTTCCCAAAGTTCGGGGATCTCCCAGATCTAGGGAAATTTTGACGGGTTTTATTTGATTTCCCCAAAATGTTCGGTGGCGGCTTCTCCAAACGGATAAAATTTCCCCAATAATAAGATTATAATCTCCCGATTGGGAGTGTACAGGAGGACATAACGTGAATCGACGACCCAGAAAGCGCACACAATGCACCGACAGTACACAACGAAATTATTCGGAAACAATCAGCAACAAAGCAAGCATCATATTAAAATAATCTTATGATCAAAAGCGTAAGCTAACAGTCAACAAAATGAATTATCAAAAATGCCCCAAGGGCATCCTGTGCGTCACTTATTTTTCACAGTCTAGTTAAACTAGCCGGTTATGTTGAATTGTGGTGCTTCACACTTAGTTTACATTCACGATGATTTTCAAAGGGCTATGAAGAGGAAAAAAGGAACGGAGAAAATGTGAGCTAAGTTCGGAAGGCGCAAACGTGTGATACCAAGTGATCAACACTTCAAATGGTTCAAACGGTTGTGGACGGAATAGAAAAAGCTTTCGCTTAACAGGCTTCCGTGTCTAGTAACAGGGGATCACCAAATCCTCCAGGCAGGAACCTAGGTATGTTAACAACAAAAGAGGAAAAGAAATTGGTAAATCATAGTGTGATACTGTCCTTGGTCCTTAAGAATAGGTCAAGTTGCCTCTTGAAGGACTCCTGAGAAGTCGCTTGGACTGGCTCGGCCGGCAGCGAGCTTGAAACCTACTATCAGAAATGGTTTATTGCCACGAAACTAGAGAACAACGAGAAGTCAAATAATAATCATACATGCTCAAAAGGTTCAGAGAGGGGATTTAAAAGCTTACACGCCTTGTTCATTTTGCGGATAATTAAAAAAATACGCAAAAAAACAAGCGTGCTATTTAAAAAGAACAGTGGTATTTTTCCTCGCTGGGTAAATTTATTTGTTTTGATCGTTTATTACGTATCAAGACTAATGTTTTCACTTCAATTGAATTTATTTCAGTTAAAGTATTTGACTAGAGTACCGTTTTCACTGTTCTCAATTAGTTTTGTCGTTGGTTCTCTTGAGTACCTCTTTTTCAACTGTATCTGTTAGTACTTTCGGTCCTAGCAATCTACAGCTCTTCACTTTTTGGTCATTGGTTATTTTTTTGTTTCTGAGTATCATCGCATTTTAAAATAGAACCCCTCCTAAATGACTGGACAGTGTAAAAAAAAGCAGTTGTCAACGTCCGGGTTGTCGTTATCCTGTTGAAAGCGGCATGCAGTGCGACGAGTGCAAAGGCTGGTACCACGAAGTTTGCATGAACTTAACTCCTGCTGCTTTCAAACGGTTCAGTAAGAAGGGTTGTGTGTGGCTTTGTCAACAGTGCTGCTCGGATGCAAACAGCTTGCTAACCGAGGCCATCTCACTGGTTGATGCTGCAAAGAAGTGCTTTAGCAAGCATAGTCGGAACACGTCAAACAGCACTCGATCTGTCGACACGCAAATCAACGTGAAAGAAACTAAGGATAGTTCGATAACGGACAACTCACGCCCGTCAAAGAAGGAAAAGCAGTCTCCAAAGGGGCCTGTCTTAAACAAAAGCTCAAGAAAAGTAGGGTCTTCTGTTCCCCGTCTCCCAGATAGGGTCCGACAGGAAACACCTATAAGCCGCAATCGCAAGGCTCGATCGGTTTCAAGCATTAAACATAACCCGACCTCTCAGGTCATCGACAACCCCCAAAAATCCAACACTAGGTTTGACGCAACAGTTATTGCTTCTACCAGCACCGTTGACGAATGGGTACAGGTTGCAAGGAAGAAAAGTAAGGATATAAAAGCGAATCCTGCCCCCGTAAAAGTAGTTGAGAATTCGAAAGTTGATCATAGCGACAGATCAGCTATTTTTCATAGAATCAAGGAGAGCGAGAGCTCTGAACCTAAAGCTCGTTTTGAGCATGACATTGTACTTATTATGCAACTGCTTAATCAACTCATGCCTCAAAATATGACCTGGGTCACTTTGCTAAAGGTGGAAAACTAGGGAGTCTAGCGGACTCGAAACCAAATCATTCCAGACTGCTTAAAGTAGTATTCAGCTCTTCGAACGAACTTGACTTAATCCTACAGATTTGACACAAATTAAAGGGTTCAGGAGTCTTTATCCGAAAAAACCTACCGCTGACAGATCGTGCTAAAAGACGGGAAGTCGAAAAAGAACTACAACTTAGGTTAGACGCTGGCGAAAAGGATTTGAAAATTGTAAATTTTCGGGTTGTAAGACTTCGACCGACAACGATGCCGAAGCCACTCTGGGTGAAGCACGAAGGCACTTAAACAGGCTTCGGATCTGTTACACCAATGCACGAAGCTTACTTAATAAGCGATCGGAACTAGGTATACAGATCGACTCTACAAAGTCAGACATAATCGCAGTGACAGAAACCTGGCTGACATAAGCTATAGATAGCATGGAACTTGATTTCGAGGGTTTTACATTAGTAAGGGCCGACAGAACACAAAAGCGCAAAGGAGGGGGAGTAGCTGTATTCATTAGGAATGCTATCTCATTTGCCATTATCTATAGTGTATATTATGAGAGTGGGACGTGTGAATTAATTAGTTGCCGCTTGAAATGCAAGGGACAAGAGCTGCTGATTGGTTTGGTCTATCGCAGTCCAAGCTGTGAGGCAAATGAGATTCTGTTAAGCTGTCTCAATACTTGGTCCCAAAGTGGTCGATGTCTAATCCTAGGGGACTTCAATGCACCTATGGTAGACTGGGAAAATCGGAAAACTAAATCGTCGGAAAACTCCTTCGAGCAGGAACTAGTTGATGCGGTTATCACATGTGCCCTAGTGCAACATGGGAAAGAAGCGACAAGGTACGATCCGGACACTGAATCATCCTTATTAGATCTTATACTGACTCACTATGAGGATGATGTTGCGAACCTCTATCATATGCTACCCCTAGGTAAAAGTGATCACGCAGTTTTAACTTTTGACTTCCATATAACTGCCAGTCACGACCACGCGTCAGTCCAGTCCAGACCCAACGTCTGGAAAGCAAACATACCAGATATCATGCACTCAGCATCGTTAATAGATTGGACAATAGACCCAGAGTCCTCCATTGAAACGGCCTGGGATGCATTTCGAAATTCATACCTAAAAGTTACG